CCCCCCCCCCCCCTTTCCCGCCCCCGGCGGGGCTGACAGGGCCGCGGGGCTGAGGGGGCCGGGGGAGGCCAACACGCAGCGGTCCGCCGGCAGCCGTGGGGCTGGAGGAGGCCGCCGGGAAGAGGGCTCCTGTCACCGCCCGGCCCCCGGGGGGCGGCGGGCAGCGCGGCGGCCGGGGCAGGCCGAGCGGAGCGGGGGGATTAGATGTCGACGTGCCGGCGGGCCCGTCGCCAGGCAGGGCTGCTGGTCTGGTTCAGGGATTCCTGGCCTGAGGCGGCAGCAGCCTGTGCTTCAAACCCCGCTCCTCGCCGGGGCGGCTGGGCCTGCTTTAAAATTTAAAAAAAAAAACAAAACCCAAAACAAAACACCCGAATCTATATTTTTAGGAAAAACGTAGCGTTGAAACTCTTAAAGGCCTGTGAAATGTATGGAGCGGCTGCTATTGCCAGGTGTAAACCGTGTGAATAGCTGTCATTGAGAAAGGTCAGCTTCCCCCTGCACTGACAAGGGGGCCGGGGGACAGGGGGTGGCCGTGTCCCCTCGCCCCCAGGGGGTGGCCACTGTCCCCTCACCCCCCAGCGATGCCCGTCTCCCTCCCGGAACCGAAAAGCCATTTCCATTTGTTTCCGAAGGGTGCAAACGGCCTTGTTTTCAGCTCTAGGAGCTCCCGGTAATAACGTAGGGTGCTGCGTTTTGCAGTTGGAACGCTGTAAACTTCCTACTAGCTTTTATAATATTGATGTACTGCATTATGTGCGATCGTGGCCGTCTCCTCACCTGGAAGGGACTGAAAATACATCCTTGCCTTTCCCATCTCGCACAGCGCAACCGTGATGTGCGATTTTGACACGACTGTTGCTCAAACTGTTTTGTAGCTTGCTTAAGATTTAGTTTTTCACTTTAGCAACATTGTAGAAGCTCAGATGCAGAGGGGAGAGCTCTTTGCGTCGAAATGAGACGTTTGTACCTGCTGGCTTTCCCTTTCCAAAGTGTATTAAGATTTTAAGATGAACGTTGTGCTTCATCATACCTCTTGTGGATAATTCCGGGACTGTATATTGAGTGAGCACACACGGAGTAAGTACTGCATTCAATAAATTTTAAAGCTGTACAGCCTTCCTAGAGAACCTGAAATCTAACTATAGGCTGTTTCAGGTTCAGCTTGTGACTGCACCCGGTACCCGAGAGGAATGTTAACAGTAGCAGTATGGAGTCTGATTTCAGACATACTGGTTTTGCTTAATCAGTTATGTTAACGTATACAGTTTTTCCTTTCATTCTATTGGGCATGAGTAAAAAAGCCTTAAAACCTTCTTTTTGTGTATTAGGTGGTATTGTTGAAGCCATGTCCTTTTCTTTAGTATTTCAGGAACAGGAAACTGTTGCAGAGCGAGGCTTGGAATTAATGGGAAATTGTGTCTTGCTGTATAGAATTATCAAAATTAAGTATAAGATTTTTTTTGTTTGTTTGTTTTAAACTAATTGACCATAACCAGTCCTTTTAGATTGCGTTTCTATCTGATATTTTGTAGCTGTTTAACGTGATTTACAATAAGGAACAGGACTCTTAATGAATCATTACAGGGAGACAGGTCGATACTAGGTAGGACGAACTGAGCTTGTCTCTTTTAATTAGCAATACTAAGACTGAAGCTATCACTGCTGAGGATGTTGAAGAAAGGCCTTTTTCCTCTCATTGCTTAGGGTCTGGTTTATTTGGAATTTGAACCTTGGGCTGCATATGATTGTATATTAACCTGAACTCCTTGACTTCAGGGCTAGCTAGATGTCTGAATGTAATGTTTAGCCAGGGTTGTGAAGAACATAGATAACTCTGCCCTTCATTTTAATTATCTCAGTCACATAATGAACCAAAAATAAATTATAGATGCTAACAATTGGAGATAATGCTTTTTCGACCCATTTCTTCTTTTTGAACACTTACAGACAAAACCAAATTCAGTTACAATCTCTACTCAGTGTTGTGACTGCGCTGGTCAGGCAGGCCTGAGATAATCCAATCCAATGAGAGTTTACAAACCCAGAGGAGTCTGGTTTTGTTTGTTTGTCCGATATTCTACTTTGGAAAATCTGACAAAGTATTTCTTGTTCTAGTTGCTAATGTTTCAGCTTTGTTTTCCATTCTCAGTTTGACTGTTCAGGTTAGTGTTGGTATTTTTCAGAACAAACACAGATACTCTTGCAATTGAATATGTTGTTATTGCTCTTAGGGCTTTTGGAAACGATAAAGATGTAACAACCAAGTCACCTACTAGCTGACTTTTATCTAGGGAGTATTTGCTCCCACTTCACTCGAGCTTTTAGTCAAGATGTGAAAACTCTCTGTTGAGATTTGTTCTTCTTTTTTATTTGAACTTGGTCTTTTACTTTAAATGTCAGGTACCACAAGGCAGAAGAGTAATTTAACACACACTAATAAGAATCGTACCTAGCGAGCAAAACCAGGCAGAGAATATTAGCTTTGCATATTTGCAATTCCCTTTGTCTTTTCTGCTTATTTCCACGTTGGAGTAGTTTTTCTGTGCAACATGTGGCTGCCTGTCTAGGTAATCATCCAGGTGTACTCCAAAGCGGCTTTTACTTTGTTATCGACTGCTGGTGGGCTTGGGACATGTAACATGTTTGTAAAGGGGAGGGTCCTCGCTCTCCTTGTGAAGGCCTGAGGTATGTCAAACTTGCATGCAATTAGTACACCTATTTTAATTGAACCATAGCAGTTCAGTGTGGAGTCAGCTCTTGTATGGCCGTGTCAAGCTTGAACCCACTCAGATGATCACAACAGTTGCCAGTGGACTGCTGTTTGAAATTATCTTTGTTTATTCCTGATAAAGATGACTGGGTCTGGTCTGGTTTTTCAAGAACTTTTTGATGGGCTGTCTCTTCTGGCTCAGCTCGTTTTGGTCTTTGTGTTGAAGATACATACAATTTCAGGAAGAAAACCAGAAAATCAGCTGTTGTTGGGCAGTGTATTCAAGTGGAGAATTTGCATCCGTGAACGGCTGTGCTGGTATGGAACAGCTTATGGGATTTGGCTTTGAGTTTCTGCCTTGTCCATCTGCATTGATTTAAAACTAGCTACGAGTCTGAGGTGCTGTTATTTATAGATATTGCCAATCCCAGCATTAGCTGAGAAGAGATGTTATGGTTTTTTCACCTCAGGAAAATGTCCTCCGGTAGTATGGTGGTTCCAACCCGTTCTCTCTGGGGAAACGGAGTGGATAATGGCTTTTCAAATTCATTCGTATTTGCACACTGTTGACACCTTGTGCAAGTCCAGTGTCTGAGATTCCTTTTGCTGAGATTCCATATTTGAGGTCTTGAGTAATTTCCTGCTTGCTCAGCTGCCTTGGTCCTCTCAGTCTCCTCTGCTGCTTTTTTTGATACAATTGTCAATTGATTCTTAATTGATTGTTATTTTGGCAAATGAGAGAAGTGCCATACGGCTGCCTGGAGGTTAGAAATCTGCTGCTGATGCACAACTGCCTGCCCAGGGGACTGAAGGAGCCTTCGAAGGTCCACGTTGCTGCCTGCATTGCTCCCATTATGTAGCTCTTGCGTCAAATTTATTCCGCGTTTCGAAGCGATGTTTCACTGGGCTTCCCAAAAGAGATGTTTCAGAGCTGTCTGGTTCCAATCCCTGGGAAGACAGACATCTTGTTAGAAGTGGTAATCACAAAGAGTCTTTGTTTGTGTGTTTGTTTCCTCTTTATTGAAACCTTCCTTGGAGGAGAAATTGTCAGCAGTCATAGCAGGGGATTTTGGTTGGTTGGTTGGTTCAGTGATCAACAAGCTTCTTGCCTGTCTTAACTCTCTGGTGAGGACCCTTTGCTCAGTAGTTTTGAGAATCCATGGTAATTCTTCCAACATCTGAAGCATAGACAGGTTTAGCAGTATGACTTTCTCCTAGGCCTGGCGTGACTTCACTAATAGTTCTTTACTTGCAGCTGCTTATCACTGGAGCAGCTTATTTGCATACTGGTTCAAGCAGTCGTGACTCTCTTGCATTCACCCATGGTTGTTTACGTAAATTTTTCAAACAGGATGGATTCATTTTACCCAATTCTTGAAAGTTTTTTAGATCCATAGCCCCTGTGTGCTTACTGTGTCAGCGAATTCTTCCCTGGTACTATGGCACTCTAGTGCTCTTGCATTTTAACCTTTCTAGGGTCTGTCACATCTTAAGGCAGCAGAACGTTTTTCTCTTTATAATTTATCCCAGAGTACAGAACTTGCTCTCACTTAGCACGTTTTCAGCTCTTCTGCATTATTTTAACGCGCTCTTTTAAAGTCTCTGGTTAAGCATGTTTTTGGCCTGTATGACTCCTCTCTATTTTTTTCCAATTTTCTAATTGTTTTCTAAAATATGTAAAAAATATATTCTAATATGTTTGATGAGGTGATAATACCCTTGCCGTTATTTCATTTTGCTGTATGGGGTTTGGACTAGCATACACTAAGAAGTATGGCTATAACTGATGCTAAGCTTTGCCCTTTTCCTTCCTTCTTTTAATGAAATTCTGATGCGGGAGACTTTGTTTTTCTCAGCTGTATGTTTGCAGCTTCGTGTTTTGGAGAGATACTTAAAATCCATTTACAGCTATCTCGCACAGAGGTGAAAGGAAGGATTTTTGTTTCAAGTTCTTTTGGGAACCTGAAAACAGAATTGCTTGTTTTGCTCTGGGCAGTGGTTTAAGCATTTTATATGGAAGTTATTATGGAAAAAAAATCTCCAGGAGAATTTGCTGCTATTGCTGCCTGCCTATGTGGCTGTTTGGTAATAACAACAGTGATAATATTCAGATTAAGGGCCATTTATTTTGGCTGTTCTGGCTTGTAGAAACATGAAAATGTGCAGGGAAAGATGTGTCCTTTCTTCTGGAGTACATATGGATGGCGTGGTTCTTGTTGCAAGGGGCAAATCTGGTGAGGAGGGTGTGTTAAGAAAGTGAGTGGTCACTTTGATATGTGGCTGGTCTGTGCAATATGCTCCACATTAAATATTGCTCAGAAAAATTTACAGCCTAATGAAATCGTGCACTAAAATCTAGATGCCTCAGCAGCTCACTGGTGCTGATTTAACTCTGGCTCCGTGATGGATTTGCCAAGTTTCCTGGTCTGGGCAGTGATTGAGCAGATGTCTGGTGTCCTGAGCTGCTTAACGCCTGGATGTCCCAGGCAAATTCCCACCAGGCATGAGCAGAGAACAGCCACGTGCTCCATGGGTCTGGTGCATCCAGCTTTCATCTTTGGTCAGCACATGTGTTGATGTCCACTCCCTTTGCTGTTCTTTATAAAACTGTGGCTTGATCTATGGATCTTTAAGCAACAAAGTCCCTTTCCATTTCTGAGTAGGTGCACTGAGTCATAGAATCACTGAATGATTTGGTTGGAAGGGACATTAAAGATCATCCAGTTCTAACCCCCCTGCCCTGGGCAGGGACACCTCCCACCAGCCCAGGTTGCTCCAAGCCCCCTCCAACCTGGCCTTGAACCCCTCCAGGGATGGGGCAGCCACAGCTTCTCTGGGCAACCTGGGCCAGGCTCTCACCTCCCTCACAGTAAAGTATTTCTCCCTAATATCTCATCTCAATCTCCCCTCTTGCAGTTTAAAACCATTCTCCCTTGTCCTATGGCTCTGCTTCCTGATCAAGAGTCCCTTCTCATCTCTTCTGTTGCCCCTTTAGGTATGGGAAGGTACTGCTTGTTGAATAACTTTTGCTCTGTCTCCACAGTAGGGTATTTGCTGCCAGGCTTAATCTGGCACCTCTCTCTAGACACAGAATAGCAACGATACTTCTCAGTGTGCTCCTGAGCGAAAAGGGAAGTGTTTTGCTGCAATACACTGGGAGAATAGTTTGGGCTTTCCATGAAATTTTATATTTCCGGAGAGAGAGGTATGGTTTGGGTTTTTTTCCAACCCTAGAAGTAAAATGTAAAATTTCACGGCTCCTGGATTGGTTACTCTTTTTAATCTTTTAATCTTAAGCTTGATAAATTGCTTGAATTGGCAATTGTTGACTGAGAACCATGTTACTAATTAGCAGAGATGTAAAAAGGAATTTCATACTTGGATTTTATTAAATGGCAGAGTCTCTCTTTGGAGTTGCCTTTGTTTCAGATCCTTTCAGATCCCTTACGTACTGAAGGGAGGCTGGTGCAGGATATAAAATATTTTGTAGCATTAACACATCTGTAGTATTCAAGTTTGTGCCCATTTCCTCTTGTCCTGTCCTTGGGCACCACTGAAAAGAGACTGTCCCCATCCTCTTGACACCCACCCTTTAAGTATTTCTAAGCATTGACCAGATCCCCCCTCAGCCTTCTCTTCTCCAGACTAAAAAGACTTCCAGTCTTCAGATTGGAAGAGTTCTAGTTGGGTTTAGTTAAATGATAATTAGTATATACCATTAGAAAAGCCTTTCCTTTTTTGGGGAAGGGGTTTAAAAATGTGCTTTGTGAGATGGTGTTGGTGCTGCAGGTGATTCCATTACACAACACATGACTCACTGCGCTGGGCCCGGTAGCACCACTGCTCTTGCCCAATTGGAATGAACCATTTCCCAATGACAGGTAGTAATAATTTGTTTGATGACATAGTTTGGTGAACAATGTTTTGGCAGCACTTGTGAGTGAAATACTTACCTTTTCCTCCTTCCCAGTGCGTGCCGCTCCCTCCAGTGTGCCTGGGCAGGAGCTGGGCATATCCCCGGGGTCTGGGTAGGCAGGATGGCTGGGCCTATCTGATGGTGCTTTGCTGTTGAAAGATGAGGTTCTGTTCCATGCTTTCCACCAGCTCTGATGTGTCTCTGAATCACTGTCAGCTTTGCTAAACCTGGCAGAAAACCTTCTCCTCCTTTTGTCGGGTGAGCCTTCCCGGCTGGAATGGCTCCCTCCGCGGTGGCTGAGCACCGGAGCTGATGCAGAGGGGAGTTTGGTCATGCTTTTAGCCAAACTTGGGGAATCGTTCTGGATCACTGCAGCTGCACAAAATCTTGTCCTACCCCACTGGGAATTGTCCTACCTCACCAGCATTGGCTTGCACGATGGTGGCCACACTTAAAGGGGGTCTTGTAGGACGGAGGGGGGTGTGTGGGCACATGCCTGCTACTATTGCTTTACTGTGATCACTGTTCTGGTCCTTTTGGGTCAGCTTTAGTATTATTTGGCATTAGTTTGTGGCTTGGTAAAAAAAAAAACCTGGCTTATGGCAATCTCTTCATAATATTGCAACAGATACCAAAGCTGTATATACTTTGAGTACAACTATTTTTTCCATCCTCAATCACAGGTACTTTAGAGCCGAGTGGCCTGTTACTGTTGATCTTTAATGTAGCTGGGTTTCCTGTGTTGGAGGAGCTAAATAAGCTCTGATGTTGGGTTTTTGCTGCCAGCTAGTAAATATAGTTGAAGTCGGGCAAGTGCAGGACATTCTGGATAACGAGGCACAATTTATTTGCTATTTGAACAGACTGTTGGAAAAACTATTGTATCTCCATAGAAAACAATCTCTGTCTAAAGGGGGAAAAAAGAATGTTTTCTTGACATGACAAATTAGGAGCCTACACACATGAATCATAAAGATACCTACTCCCAGTAACTAAAAACTGGAGACTGGGTATTGCTTTTAGGATAATGTTTAGGTTTTTTAGGCTTTAGCATATGTGCTTCTTCCAGCAATGCTTGTGTCTGGCAAGGGTGTTCCTGCTAAACAAGAAATGTGAAAAGAATGAACGGAAGGGTAAAAAAAAGGCTTAAAAAAAGTCCTTGGGCAATACTTTGTTTGATTAGAGTACTGCAGTGGGACCTCTGAGTTTCAGGGATTTTTGTTTGTTATTACGGGATATTCTAAATTACAACCGTAGCAACTACCACCTGGAATTTCTGGTCTGACTTTTTCAATACTCCATGTCACTTTCAAAAGGCATCTTTGGTATAATTAATTTTGAGGGGATTTTTGGGGGTTTTACACTTGTTTTCATTAACTTTAGCACTTGAATATGAACCAAACAAAGAAATACCAGTAGAAGCAAGAACAAACCAATTTTCAAACTGCATTATTTGTATGTTTAGGTGGCTGTCAATGCACACATCCCTCCGGATTATCTTCTTAGGATCTGTGAGAGACTCGGACCCCTTTTAGACAAGGAAATCCCACAGAGTGTCCTAGGTGTGCAGACTTTGCTAGGTGTCGGGCGCCAGTCTCTATTAAGGGCAGCAAAAGGTAAGATTATCAATTTATGTGGGACTGAATTTTATTTTAATGGTCAAAACCCCCTTTTCTTTCGATTCATATTGTGGTATCTGTGTGTGTTTGCATGAACCCTGGTTTGTCTCCTATACTTGTCAGCTTTCTTGTTGCTAAAATGCAGTTATTGCTGGCCCTGTTACATATATGTTTCTTGGGAAGAAAATGCCACCTTAAGCAGCTCTTGCCTACAGTTGCCTCATCTTGTTGCTTCCTTTGCCTTCCCTTCCCCAGCACATTGGACTGGTGTTTGTGTGAATGATGTGATGAACTGGCTTAGAGATTGGATCCATCTGAAAAATAGCTATTTTTTTCCATATACATACGCACACGCCTGTGGCTAAAGTAACCCAGCAGTCTATATATTTTGCTGGGCTATTTTTCAGGCTGATTTGTTCCATTATTCGATTCTCTGGCTGTGCAGGATGGCATTTGGGGCAGCATTTGGAGGGTGGGAGAAGGTGAGACTGATTCTTCAGTGATAATTCCTGCTTGTCCTTGCTTAAAGTTAATTTGAATGAAAGCCCCCCATTCCTTTCATGAACAGAGCACCAGTCCTATTCCTTTTGAAAAACCCCTCTGCTTGAGATAATGATCCCGAGACCAGAGTTTTGTGTTATAACTAAACAGATCTGAGAGCCATCTGCTATTTAAAAGAGTGATTCCTCCCTTCCCTCCTCACTCCGTGCCCCTGCCACTTCTTCCCTGTAGGAGCCAGAACTTATTTGATCCTGTGATGTGCTGATTCAGAGAGCTTAAATGTTGAAAAATTTGTTATTGCTGTTGTAGTGAATTAAATTAGCTTCTGTGCTGGAGGTGACATAGGCAGCAGGAGCATCATTCTGGGAGAGGAGGAGGGATGGGAGAGCAGGACCTTCCTGTTCCAGTGGCAGTTGAGCACTTAATTTACTGCATCCTGTGGAGTCACACTGATGCTAACGAGGGCTGTAGCATTCTGCTGATCCACTGGATATCACCGGGAGGGATGTGCTGTTCGCAAACGTGTTTCCTTACGCATAGTTTTGGGACTGAGTCTTACTTTGTCTTTGCTTTTCAATAATTGGGAAAATTGAGAATTTCAGGTTGGGGGAAGGCCTTCATAGAAACATTCCTTCCTGTCGCATTCAGTTTGCACCTTAGAAGAAAACAGCAATGAAATGTAAAGAGAAAATAAACATTTTTGTGTAGGGAAACAGAAGTTTCTTGGATGAATTAGGGGTCAGAGGCTAGATGAATCACTGAAAGATGCAGTGCTTCCTAAGCTGTGTGATAAATTGATTGCAAAGAGATTTTTGACTAGATGTATGGTGTGCTGCTTCTTTTTTTTTTCCTTCAGAAAAAGGTGCTGTGACATTGTGTCATTCGGAGTGTAAAGCACATTCACTAGTATAAAACATCGTGCCTTTTTCAAAGCTGATATACGTGGATTTCCATGTAACACCCCCCCTTAGCTGTTTATCAGTATGACGTTTCCATTTACCATTAGTATTTATAGCTATTTTGATCTATTTTAGAAAGTACGAGTGCTGTTTTTAATATGTATCATTGTAATACTCTGTGGTACAGTTTGGATTTCAATCAGGAGGTGCTCTCGGGAGTCTCTTTGAGTCACGTAAGCTCCTGCACTTCATTTTCAGAGATCTAAAGGGTGATACACAGATCCACCAATCTGTGGCACTATCCTTCTGTTTCAGACCTCGTTCGCCATGGAAGCTCATTTCTCTCCTTCCAGATGGCCAGAAATGGAAGAAGTCCAGGTCTAATTTCTGAGGCGCTCTGAACAGTCTCAGAAAAATCACTATTGTTCTGGAGAGAAGGCTCTCTGAGGCCAGTTGGCAGCAGATAGTTGGAGAGTCTTTAAAGAAAATAGTCTTCATTTTAAAAACAATGTTTTTTGGGGGGGTGGTGGGGTGCAGAGGAGAATCTGAAAGGAGGGCATATTGCCACCAATTGCAGGAAAACAGATTTATAGAAAAAATATCTCACTTCTCCCACTTTCAGAGAGCAAATGTATGTGTGTGTGTATATTCTCAAATATATGGTTCATGAGAGGTCCTGTATGTGTTGGGATGGCAGAAGGACTGAAAACACATGAAAATTCAGTGCTGCCTCAATGCAAAGTGCACCCACTTTATTACATTCTCTTCATCAATTTAGACTCCCTACTCCCCAAAATGAAGCAAAACCAAGGTGAAACCATTTACAGTCATATTGCTTAGGAACTAGAAATCAGAGTAGAAATCTTCTTTAAGTGTTAGGTCTCTGACAGGCTGTTTTAAAAGAGAAATCTTATTTTGGGATGCTGGGAGTGGTGCTTGATGCTCTTGAATCTAAGACGAATAGATCAGTTGGACCCAGTTTGGCTGATTGTGTCACTAACCCACTGTTCATCTTGCTGCTACAGACTTCAGACATACATCATGGAAAGGATCTGCATTTGCGGCTCTTCACAGAGGGCGGCCTCCCGAACTACCTGTAAATTATGGGAAACCACCAAATGTGGGTGAGTTTTGAAACATACATAAGGTGGTTTTTTTTTTTTTTTTTTTCTCTGTATTTTTATTACTGTTCCAGCTAAAAGTTACTCTTAGTGACTGAGAAACTACTGTGGGTTTGCATTAATGGCTTTTTTGGACATATCACCGTGAATTGTCTAAAAAAGGTTTCTCACTGACAATAGAAAGAACCCCTTTTTGTTTTATTCAGGCTTCCATAATGTGTGCACACACATTAAAACATTGTGGACACGTTGAAAAGCTTTGCATGTCATCTTCCTGTTTGGAGGGTGATGTGCTTGAGTATTTTTTTAATGATAAATGTACATAATATGTCCATATGCTTATAAGATTGAATAGGCAGAGTCACAGGAGCATGTAGACAATCTTTTCATTCAGTTATCTTAGTCAGAACAAAGCACCTGGCTCCCAGAGAACTTTTTGGACTCAAGAATTCATTTTTAGTTGGATTATGACAGAAAACAGACTGCTTGCAACATCCCTCTCCAGAAAGGAAATAATCACCAAACCAACATGTGTATTGCTTTGATTTCAGTTGTCCGCACGGTTCAATAAAGAACTTGTATAAAACCCAGATACGTGTAGGGATTCAGCGTACGTGTCATCAAAGAGCTTCTCTGTTTTGCTTAAACTGAAAAATATTTTCCTTCTGTGGTCTGAACTTTCATTAACCATTTTTATAGCAAACAAATTGTGTTCTTGCAACCTGATGGTCGTGATTTGTTTTCTTATTAGGGTATTTTATCTGTATTTATGTGTGTTTGTGCAAATGTGTGGGCTTTTCCTGCTTTGTTGGGAGATGCATTCACATATATTTCTCCCTCACCTTTGGAGACGCGGGGGTGATGAAGGCAGTCTTCTCTTTCTGCCGTGTTTGTTCCTCTGTGCTTCTGCACTTTCTCTCTCATTACTAAAAATTAATCTTTGTCAGGCACAAAAGTGACAACGTCTGGGCCGGTTGTGGTTGAAATCGATAGCACGCTTTGCATAAGGTCTGTGGTGTTGTGGCAGCCCTGGGATGGAACAGCAAAGTTAATTATGGGTCTTCTGTATGAAAAAGAAATGGACATTTTCCTGGAACTAGTGGATAGGGAACTATTGCATTAGTACTTTTCCTGCTTTTGTCAGATAATTCATGACTCATCCTGTAGACATTAAGAAGGAAAACTATTTCCATATATTAGTATGGTTACTTATGTACATGTCTGTGTATTTATTCTTTTAGGCTGGTTCTGCAGTTACATTTTTGTTAGCAATCCATCATCCCAACTGCTAATAGACTAGATTATAGATTTATTGCACACATTCAACTTCTATAGTTATATTTCTATAAGGGCTCATGGATCAATTCTTTCATAAGAGGTGAATTAGACTGTTTTTGGAATATGCAGTATTATTAATGATCCATGCTAGCAGTTCTGACTTCAGCATTTGTCGTGTTTTCCTGACAAAGGTCTGTGCTGCTTACTTGGTGACTATTTAGTGACTTAGAGCTCTAACAAATGATTTGTTGATTTCAGTGTTTTCCTATGAATCGTTATTTAAGAAATACAAAGGTTCTTAATGGAAAAGAATATTTTACAGCCTAGAATTAATTTTTATAAATATTGTTTCATGGAAGAATATGATCCTCCTTGGTGTAGGTACATAAACTACTAGTAAGGGAGGAGAATGTGTGTAAAGATTAAAATAAGAAGTTGACTATACTCACGCTGTACAGGAGGCAGGAGTTTGATTTTGGGATTCCTCATTATTAATCCTGAAGTAGAAGTCACAAAATTCTTCTTTATGTATTTGTGTGAATGGGTGCTTTTTCTGGTGGGTAGTGACAGCCACAGGTGCTGCTCTGTCTGTGTGTGTTCTTATTTTAAAATGCAAGATGAAGTATTATGCCCAGCCTCTTTAATATTTCAGCATAATTGTGAATTCCCCTATTAGTCAGATTGAGTTTTCTGGAATTACTTGCTGAAGGAGTTGGGCTGAAGGAATAGACACCCATAATAATGTGTGTTCATGAGTGAGATGAAATGATTGTGTAATTGCCTGCGTAGACAGGTAAATAAGGTGTAGAACTAGAAGTATTCTTAGATCATTTCCCTTGCAGTGATAAAGTTTAAAGTTTGCCACCGTAAGTGTGTTTTTCTGCTGTGAGAATGGGAATGTTTGTGGTTGCCATCCCAGCTGGAAGAGTCGGTAGCTGCAGTGGTTTGCCTTTCCTCTGGATGGGATTGGGATATGGGACCTTGTGGTCTGTACCCCAGAATAAAAGGTCTTGCATGGTGGAACCGGAGCGAGAAATCAGTGTTGCCCTTTCCCAGCCTGTTTGTGCAGAGCTGGGAATCTTCTGGCTGGGGGAGTCTCCGAAAAACTGCTGACCCATGGAAGTCCTTCTCAGGAACGTGGTGTTTGGGTGTCGCGTCTCGGAGGTCTGTGGTGATCTGGGGGAGGAGAGGAAGGGAGAATGCTGTCATGGCTTTCTGCTGCTGAGAGGAGAACTCAGGAAATATGGGGAGATGGTCGTTTAGGTGGTTTCTTTGCAGGTTTTTGAGTAGTGATATGTTTAGGACTCCCTTTGTGCTCTTCTAGACAGAAAATGGAGAGATTGGCTGTACGGTGCCTCAGCAATGGGATTTATTTATGTGAGAAACCTGCTTTTGAATACTACTTCGATAAAAGTTAGGGACTTAATTATTTATTTATTTATTTTTGTGGGCAACACAAAGCAGATTAGGATTGTTTTCCCTCTTTAGTGGTTTACTAGTGCTATTATATCACAGAATTGTCAGAGTTGGAAGGGACCTCTGAAAAACTGTATGTGGGTAACTGCTGTTAGTGAAAGTAAGACAACATTTGGAACCAGAAGGTTCGTAGCCCAGTCTCAATGACCAAGCAGTTCAGCTGGATGGAAATTTACAGTCAAGGTGATCCAGCTACCTTAGGGCTGCCAAACAGCAGGGCTCAAACAAGGTCAGAAAATCAATGATGTTCCTCTGCTGTAAAGGGGTTCCGTGAGGTCAGCAGCTACGAAAGCTGGAACACTTGGTTCTTTTGGTGCTTTTACTGGGTCTAACTGTCTTTGCAGCCACACATGCAACTCTCTGAGAAGATATTTTGCATGTGTGACCCAACTGTGTTTATTTCCTGGTGTTCTTATGAAACCCAGACTTGTGTTTCTTCTCCACGTGCCGAGTGGTACCCAGCCTTTGTTCTTGATTAGATACTACGACAAGGTCACCACGTGTCCCGGCTCCGTAAAATGTTACGTTCTCATTACAAAGTTATAGTCCTGATTTTAAAAGGTAAAATAGCATGATGTGAAGTCTTTGCCCTTAATGCTCGAGAAACTATTTTTAAAACAAACATTTATACCAGTCTTCTGGTTTCTATTTTTTGCTTGCAATAAATGCAGAGAGGAAAGGGTTTATCAGGAGAGGAAGAATTCAAGCAGATTGAAAACTGCTGCAGCAGGACTTTGTCCACACTAAAATGTTTTAATTCCTTCTGAAGTTATGTTTTGAAATTTGTGATGTCTGATGATTATTTTTTAAATTTTGTTTTCAGTGACAGGTTATTGTTGCCGGATTTTGGTTTTATCCTTCCTTGGTGAGGTTTCTTGCAAGGGTTTTTCCATTTGTGTTCTTATCTCTAGTAGAATGAATTGTGATTTAAGAATTACTGTTGCACAGTCTATGTGACTGCCCTCTGCAACTGTGCCCGTACTTGCACTAATTTTTCTGAAGGTGTCAACTTCAAGGACCAAGGTCTGTGAGAAGGGCCACCTCCCATGGCAGCATCAGGGGCATCACTGCAGCGAGGTGGCAGTCATTGCAGCAGCTAGAAGTGAGGAACTCCATCTTTTCCATTTCTGGACAAAACTGACTTTTTGTAACAAGAAGATTAGATATGCTCATTTTTTAATGTGAAATAACATCAATATATAGTTTTGAAAGTTTTTTTTCCTGGCAGGAAATAGCGAGGGGGTAGACTTGGCAGCTGCTATGCCCAGTACTGCAGGAAGTACAGCAGATAGTTAGACAGGTTGCTGAAAGTTTGTAGGGCTACTGTGTTCCTAATTCTGTGTGTGGGAATCAGAGGTTTTAAAATTCTTTTAGGTTTTATGAGTACAATAACTTCATTGTACTGAAGAAAAAGCAAACTTCACGGGGCTTTTTGTCACGTGTGGGTAATTCCCTAGTTAGATATTGTGTATTAATCTTCTACCAAAAAATACGAGAACTGGAATTGGTGATGTTCGGTTTGCTTTGTTGGGGGAGGTGGGTTTACTTTGCAGTTCCTCTGAAGGCAGTGGTATTTTATATAAAATGTGGGAAGACAAGGATCTCAGTCACAGCTTTGTGTGCGTGTGACATACGTTTCTGGTGTACCCTGAGTGTTTTTGTAGTAGGGATCACGTAACATTGAATACTTGCTACTTTTTGTTCCAAGCTGCTGTTGCTTTGATAAAGATGGTGCTCCTTATGGCACAACAGTAGTTCTGTATTTCTCTGAAACTTGTGACTGAAGCATTTCATAAGCAGTGCTTTTTTTATGTTTTAATTATCCGTGGGAGATCGAGGAGGCTTGTCCCCATTGTGCAAATAGGGAAATAGAACACAGAAAAAAGTGAAATTACTTTCACATTGTCTGAAGCTGAACGGGTTGCAAGCTTGGGAATCGACTGGAAAAGTTAGGTGCTGGGTGCCAAGTGAAAGGTTGTGTGAGTTCTCGGTGCCCGACTGGTTGTTATGTCTTTGAGTATCTCGTTCATGTGATTTGGAAGAAACAGCAGAGGTAGATTTTCAGAAGAATTTCATGGGAACACTACAGTACACAGAAGGCATTGTGATTATTGGGAATCTTTTTGAAATGCAAGTATACTTTTTTGATTCACACAGTTCTTTGTGTGGTTAAAAAAAATGTTCAAAGCCATTTGAAATTATTTAAAGGCAGATACACTCTTATTATGTATTTAAATGATTTAAACACTGAAAGGCACAGCAGAATTATCATATTGCTAAATGACTACATCTCTGTGTTGGCATAACACTGTCCACAGTGTGGGGTGGGGGAAAGGAGGTGTAATATTTTTAAGAGCTTGGCTTTTAAGCTGGCATACTTACATAGTAAATAAAATGATGTGTTGGCAAACCTGACGGTACCTTTGTACAGTGTTTCTCCCTGTGGGATCTCTGTGTCCTGCTGTAAGAGGTGAGAAAAAGGGTTAAAAGATTTCATTTTTACTTTACTAGGGGAGACAGTTTCTATTTAACAGTTCCTGTGTAGTATCAGGTATCAGTTGAATAGTAGGTAGATAGTAAATAAATTTGATTTAGTGTGTTTTGCTTTTTTAGTAGTGCTGAATATGTGTTTTTACACAAAAAACAAATATTGACTGAAGATAAGGTCACGGTGGGAGCCTGATGACTTTTGCAAGCATCTGCACCTTTTCTGCAACTTTTTTTTTTTTATAGTATGTAGTGTTTCAGTTGCATGGAGGGATTAAAAATAGTCCAGAATTCAGAGCATAAAACTGAGAAACAAAAATACTTCTTTGCAAATCTGGAAACAATTTATATTCAATCTTACACGTACCAAAGTGTATGGGTTAGTAGTCAAGTTGTTCACTATACTTTTAAACTGAAGGATTGAAAGGGACTAAAGAGCTTCATCCCCCTTCTGTGAAGCCCTGCCTACTGCAATGTGCACCGGACAAGATAAGAGGTTTCTTCTGGGAGCTGCTATCTGAAGGACTCAACAAAACCCACCAATAGCTATGGTAGATCTGTAAGTGCCTTTGGAAAAAAAAAACAACAAAACCCTCTCAAAACTTTAAAATGAAAAATTGAGGTGGAATAAACTAGGGTCGGTAAAATTAAATCGCCAAAATGATCTCAAATTATGCGTCAAATCAAAGATTAGAATCAGAATGTTTCTGTATTCTACGGCCATAATGATCTTCATTTGATGGCGTGTCCCAGCAAAACCATGTTTGTGCCTGTTTTTGCCTTTTCTTGTCTAGTAGAAAGATTGGTCGTTATCGTCAGTGAAACTGGCAACGGTGCCTTTTTTACATAATGTTTTTGTGCAGTTAGATTTTGGGCTGTTGTCTCAAGGACCCCTAGGTTTAGCAATACAAAAGAATTTGTTGTTATTGCAGTTTTTTCTTGTGCCTGCCATTCTTTTGACTGGGGCTTTGTCCTTTTGCCACATATTTCTTATTCTTCAATTACATTGTCGTAGGAATGCAATGATGTTGCTGCTGCGGCTTATAATGAGAGAGGTTTTGTGGGGAACATGTGGAAAACCATTGACCGTGACTTATGATCTGGAACCCATTCCAAAGAAAGATTTTTATCACAGGAAAAAAAGCACTTAAACTATTATTATACTCCAAAAAGGAATTTGTTGTATAATTGTTATAAGGAAATTGTATGTTACTGATATCAAGTGTTCTAAATCCTTATAGAAGAAATATATCCGTTGCCTGTTCATGAACTGATCACTTGGAATAACTTCTAGGTTTAATGGGAACTCTTTATTTTACTTTAATTTTTGTATAAGAAAGCAGATGCAGTGTTTGCTGTGGTAGGTATTGAAAGGCTTCATCAGGAGTGGGCTTTCTTTTTAAAAGACTGCACAGAACATTCTGAAAAGGTGGAAGAGGCTCAGATTTATGGATTAGAATAATAAAGCTGTTATCAAACATGATATTTGATGTTAATATTTATGTACTTCGATTTCTGGACAAAATCCATGTCTTAGAGTTTTCTTTTTGTTTTGTTTTTCTCTCCCAGTAAATATAATTTCTGCCAGGCAATTAACTGGATGTGGACGTTTCAGCCACTTGTTCCCAACGTCCACCTACCAACACATGAAAATGCATAAGAGGATTTTGGGACATCTATCATCTGTTTATTGTATAGCCTTTGATCGTAGCGGAAGAAGAATTTTTACAGTAAGTTTAAAAACTGTGCTTTTCTTGGAAGATTGATTTGCTTGGTTTGATCTCTTTCTTTCCCGAGTCCTGCAACAGCCTCAGTCACTGAGAGATGCAGACATGGCTTCCAGCAAAAAGAAGGGAAGAAAAATCTTGAAATATATGGAAAATCTATCTCTTTCTATGCTAACTTTCACTTTTCACTTGACTGGGTGTTTTAAAATTTTTCATGGCTCTGATAGACTGAAACTTAGTCAGCTATTTGCTTCCTCATGTAGAACCTTACAGAAGGGTTGTTCTGGTCTGGAGCTTGCAACTCTCACTTGAAACACGTGCTTCTTTTTCTTTATTTATCATATTTCTTGCTTAATGGCACCTGCAGTATTCTGGGATTTGGAATTAATTTGCATGTTACTTGCTGGGTTAAATCTTAACACTTTTTTAAAAACTATATTGTACCTTTGGATAATCTTGGAAATGCTGGCAATCCTTTCCTTAGATTTCAGTAAAATCTTGATGGTGAATAGATGACCTCATTACTTTGTCTGTAATAGACTTCTCTACTAAATTTTCTTTCTAGGGTAGTATCTTAAAATAATATTCATATTTTCACTAAGTTTTTCTCCAGAATATGTTAACGTACAATTCTGTGATGCTGCCCTTGTTTTTTGCTGTGCATGTTTAAAAATGAATAGATTTTTCAAATAATTAATGCATTTTTTAACTGTTAATCCCTGTCTTGTCTTTGCTCTTGTCTCTTACCAATAGGGGTTTAGAAACAGATTACCTGGCAGGTTAATTGTTGTCTTTGTGTTCTTTGCAGCTTCTCCCCTCATTATGAGTTGGTCAAATAGAGATGGTGTTAACGATAACTACTCTGGGTCATACTGAACTCCTTTCCTTTTTGCTTTACGTGATAAAGAAATCTTTCCCATCCGCAGTTATATCAAGAATTGGAAGTAATTTATGTTCAAATTTACCTGCAGTAAATAAAATGTAATTTAAAGTCAAATGATGTTGATACTGTAGTTAATTTTACAGCCTTGTGTTTCTGAATCTATAGTAACAATCGTAGCCACTGGTATTAGTATTCTTTGTAGTATCAGAACAGTGGAAAGGTCTGTGAACTGTCTAAAAATTCTTGGTGATATTGGGATTGAGTATGAAATTATCTAGCTGCTACTATAGGTAAACATATTTTTACAGTGATCTGTGTTGGATAGGAAATCTCAGTGACATAGTATTTTGGTTGTATGTGATCTTGCCTGGGTTCTCTCTTCGAGTGGTCCAGCTCTTCTGTTAACAGAAATCAAACCTTGTGGTTCAGTTTTCTACCTTATGGCTCTAGGAGCGCGGTAGAGGCTCTGAGATCCTCCAGGTGCTTCAGTGCTCTATTTCCTTAGGGCTTAAGTTTTAGGATCACTTCGATTTTACTACTGGTTTGATTTGGCTCACGCAGATAAACAAGACTGTTGGTAGTATGTGATGAAACATTTTATCTTTTAAATTTACCTTAATTCTTACTGAACTGTAGTAACTGAGAGGAGTTGCGTTAGCAGCGATAATCATATCTTAGTATGAAACGTAAGACTGGCTTCTGTTATATAAATATCTAAATCCTTGACGCCACAAGATGTTTCCCAAAATTCAGATAGTTGTGCCTCTGTGGAATCCCCCTGATGTTGTTTTTCTGGCAGGTCCATGGCATGATGGTGTTTTAGATACTTCTTCATCTGCAGTGTACCTGTGTATTATATACACATAACATTATTTTGTATAATCTTTGGAAATTTTTGTGTGGCATTAGGGGTCAGATGATTGTTTGGTCAAAATCTGGGCTACAGATGATGGGCGCCTGCTCTCCACGTTGCGAGGACACTCGGCTGAAATCTCTGACATGGCTGTTAACTACGAGAACACGCTGCTGGCTGCGGGCAGCTGCGATAAAGTCGTCCGAGTCTGGTGTCTTCGAACCTGTGCCCCAGTCGCAGTGCTGCAGGGCCATTCAGCTTCCATTACTTCCATACAGGTAAAGAACAGCGCTTTTTTTTCCCCGAAATCCTTGGATTTAAATGGCACTGAGAGATGTGGATTAGCAATCACGGATAAAGCGTATCTTTTCATCTCTGGCAGCGTAGATTTGCCCCAACTCAAGGGTGTTGCACGCTGGCAAACTCACTCCTGTGCAGTGGCCAACTGCTGTCTGAGGGGATGATCCTGCTTTTTTCCAGCTGCCTTTAACTCTGTGGTCCCGTTGCTGCTTCCTTAGATCTAGCAAATGTGTGGCCTCTGAGAGCATCAGATCAAGAAGTGGAGCCAGGGAGAAATGGCCGGCATCTTTGGTGCTGGTCCTTGCACGGTGACTGAACCAACAGACCTTTGTTCAGAGGGAACGTTTATTTTTCAGAGGAGTGCTGTCAGATATAAAACCCTTATTCCACATTTCTTCTTGCCCAGTGAGCGATAGCAGAGTAGGAAAAACATGACCGTGCTGCCAGCACTCAGCACTAGTGGTGGCATGGCCAATAATGGATAGTAATTTGCAGTTTATTTGCTTTAAAAACAAAACAAAAAAAACCCCAACACAACAGCTAGGCAGAAACATTCAACAAAACAAAATTCCAGCATCAAAAAAGTCAATCCCTGCAATAAAGATGGGAGAATGAGTGGGGATGTCTGGCTTGGAATCCCTCTCTTCTGGAGCATTGCTGCCTTTTGATTCCTCACGGTCTTCTCCAACATCCAGTAGCCCCTGGGAGAATCATTTTTCCCCCCGTCTTGTCTACACTTCCAATTTAATCTCATTTTAACTATGTCACAAGTTAGTTACTTTAAGGTGGCTGTTTTGGAGACAGTGTACAACCTGGCTTTGTGTGTTACTTGTTTATATACATCCCTCACAAGGTTTTTGTTAAACTCTGGTAATTTAGAATATAATCACAATCAGTTGTGGCTTTTTGAGGAAGCAGCATTTGATCCCTTTATCAAATACCAGGTAGCCAGAGGATTAAAGTTATTGCTGCAGTTATGAAATTAAAGTGTGAGACTTGAGGATGAAAAGCTTTCCTACCCCTTAGGGAGGCAGAGGGAGGGGCTGGGGGTCCAACTGTGCTGCTGTTCTCTGTTCTGCTTGGATGCAGGAATCATTTTTGGGACCATGTTTGCTCCAGTTCCATCCTAGAAAGAAGTATTTCCTTGTCTTTTTGCACCATTTAGAGGGTCTAGGCTTGTTTCATTTCTGCAATTTGCCAGCTTTTGTGTGGTAGAAACAAAGAGTTGCTAGTCAAAAAGTGGGTGTTTTCCATTCCTCAGCTTTATTTTTATGGTAGAGCAGATTCTGTGCTTATCCCTGATGCTATGCCCTCTACTCCTGGGGAGAAAACTAATATGTTCATGAAAAAGATTCTTGTCAATGTCTATTTACAAGTTTCCGGCATGTAAAGGGAGAAATAAATTAGCTGGTTTAACTGTTACAACTTTATTTTTAGTTCTCTCCAGCAAGGAAAGGAACAACACGATACCTCACTTCTACTGGTGCTGACGGAACAATCTGTTTCTGGCAGTGGCATGCGAACACCATGAAATTTAAGTAAGCCTGTTTAGATAATTATAATTATTTTAACTAAAGGAGGCTGTGTGTGAGTGCCGCACCAGTGTGGGGGGCAGGGAGTGCTTCCTTGTGTGTGTTGGAGAGTCTATGGCATTACAACCCAGAGGGGAGGCAGAGATCAGGGCTATTATTTCTGGGTTTTGTGCATTGCAAGCCAGTATTGTGGAAAAACTTCCAGCTTATATGTTTAGGTCTAAATCCTTATCCAAAATGTACAGGCAGAGGGATTTATTTGCTTTTAATCAGAAGAACAGACATATGTAGATGGCATCAAACCCATACTTAATAGGGAGTAAATGCTATTAGACTAATGGCTTGCAAGGTTCTGTTTTAAATCAATTTGAATTTGAAAAGTTAAATAGTCTTTTCAGTTTAGAAAATGATCGTTTTACTAAACTAAAGAGGAAAATTACTAAAATGAAAAGTAACTTTTAGCAAACTTAGGCATGAATTCTGAGATGAAGACATTGAGGATGAGCATATTGACCTTACCTGCTGTGCTGCAGTGCGTTATTGCTACTGAAAAATGAAAAACAAAATCAAAAATAATGAAAAATAAAAATGTTGTGTTGTTGCATGTAGGGATCGCCCTGTAAAATTTGCAGAGAGGTCCAGACCTGGTGTTCAGATATCTTGTTCATCTTTCAGTTCTGGTATGTATGCATTATAGCCTGTCTGAAAGTATTTTATGAACTGTAATTCCTTTGGTGAAAAGACTCTTAGTTCTTTTTGAATAATAATTGTATTAAACGCTTTTTCAGTTAATTACAGCACTGTCACATTGTGATTGTTTGAAATTTTCCATGCTAAACGTGTGACTCAAGCTACTTTTTCTGTTGTTTTTTTTTTATTTCTATAATTTAAGCTAAAATCTCTTGACACTTCCAAGAAGGACTATGCTTTCAGTCTGTCGGTTTGCGTGTTAGAGCTTTCTCTTTGTAACATCCTGGATGGGGCCAGTCTTTTTTTGGTGGTGCCCAGTGACAGGACAAGAAGTAACGGGCACAAACTGGAACATAAGAAGTTCCATCTAAACATGAGGAGGAACTTCTTCACTTTGAGGGTGGCAGAGCCCTGGCAGAGGCTGCCCAGGGAGGTGGTGGAGTCTCCTTCTCTGGAGACATTCAAACGCCCCTGGACACGTTCCTGTGGGACCTGCTCTGGGTGGACCTGCTTTGGCAGCGGGTTGGACTCTGTGATCTCCAGAGGTCCCTTCCCACCCCGTGTAATTCTATGATTCTGTTGGTTGAATGTTGTAACTTGAAATATTCTCTTCCCTTGGGCCGAAAGGTTTGCAGCTGGAAAATATTGTAGAGCTCATAGTTATGCTAAAGCGGATGTGGTCTGAAAAAATACAGATCAAAGTAGACATTGTCAGAGTTAATGTCTGTGTTCAGGTTGTATGTTTTGATTACAGTGACATTTTCTGTTTAAAACTGTAGTTTGCTGCTTTGACAATAAAGCAGTAATTAAAATAAGTTGTTCCTCAGATGGCTTTTCTTCTCACAGAAAACACTGTCTCTCTTAGGTGGCATGTTCATTGCGACAGGTAGTACTGACCACGTGATAAGAATTTATTATTTGGGCTCAGAATCTCCGGAGAAAATGGCTGAGTTAGAATCTCATACGGTAAGAGACAAATCAGAAGGTATATATTTTGTTCCCTACTTTACCTTATTTCAGGAGCTTGGGTTTCGTACATCCTGTATGGCTTCTTTTCTGTCTTTAGTTGGCTCTCAACACTGTGATATTTAAATACCTGGAAATTTGTGGTAGATTTATTTTTAAATTCCTCTGGGGCAGGCAGTGTGTGTAAAATATGCTTTATGCATTTAATTCCCCCGAGAAGCTGAGGGACTAGGTGATTTTTCGCATATTCTTGAAGAAAGTCTGTGTTGGAGTGAGAAATTAAAGCATTTTTTATGCAGTGTCATTTTTGTTATTAAATTTACTGCTCAGTATTTAACTTTAGTTGTGACCACAAATCCATATAACAAGAAAAAGCAAAGTAATTCAGGTTTTAGAGAGTGCAGTCAAACTTTGGGTCATGAGGGTAATTTCATTTAGAAAATAAAGCTAGCCTAAAAGCATCCTTTCTCAAGTGATGCAGAAAGGTTCTCATAAAGATTCAAATTATTTTAAGTATCTACAATGACATTCAATGTTAATTTTCAAGTTTGAGTCTTCATAGCTTTTATTAAAACTGTTCAATGTCTTGGTTTTAATAAAGAAGCATCGCTAAACCAGTATCAAATCTTTCTTCATTTTTTACTTGTTACTGAGAGCAGGTGATGATTGCGTTATTTATTACATGCATGGTAAACAAAATATCATAAGGGCAAGTTTATAGCAACACCGGTAGGGCTGTCACTTGTGAGGAGCTCGGAGCATTCATCTTTGAACCTTAATAGCCCCCTGCCCTCCTCAACAATATTTTATGGATTAAGGCTGAGGTCTAAATTGATTCACTGAACTTCAGTGGGAGTCGTGGGGCTCACATTTTAAGTCTCAGAGCTCCAAGCCAAGAAATCTGACAAGTATTTTGCTTACAAAAGAATAAAACGTTTTCTACATTCAGCAGTTCAGGTTTGGAATAAACTGTATTTCCTTTGATTTTGGAAAGTCTACTCTTAATATCACAGACTGCTGTCCGCCTGCCTCTGAAAAAAATCCCAAATTGGACACTTGATTATCAGGAGCGAGAGGTGTCAGTGGCAGTAAAGATAGTGAGTGCATGTGGCCAACACAAGTATTCAGCAGAATAAAAAATGGGGAAAACCACAAAGAAAATTTAGTATTTGTTTCTCAACAATTTAAAAGTAGGAATAAAGCTGAGGTTTGGGGTTTGTTTTGGTTTTTTTTTTTTTGAAATATTTTGATGCGCTTTAATGTTAGTTCTAAAAATTGGAAACCTGCTGTGATCATTTGTTTGGTTGAGTCATTCTTTCTCCATCTTGTGGAGTGCTGTCCCTGCTCTGGCCTTGTGAGCTCCAGGGATACCTTATTCCTGCTGACTCTGGAGTGTGAAAAGTGCATGGTTTCCCAGCTGGATTTTACCCTGGGGTGTGTGTGGTCCTGCAGCTCTGTGCAGGAAGGTGTGCTCAGAAGAGCTGCTGCAGCTTTTTCTCCTCAACCTCTTTAAGTGTCAGGGAGACCGAGTGGGAAATCATTTCTGTTCCTGAGCTACTTCTGGAGCAACAAGAAACCATCACCTCCCTGAAGTTTTCTATTTCAGTGTCTTAACACAATACGTTTGGGGAAGTTTTAACTTCAAATATGACTCTTCAGTTCTTGAATTCGGAAGATAGTATGTTATAGGAATTGTATGGGAGTGTGCAATTTGCTAAATGGAAGCTCATCATTAAGATCTTTCTGGATGTGTCAGCTTACAAAGCTCTTACTACTTTTTTTGCCCCTCCCTCCTATTTAGGACAAGGTGGTTGCAGTCCAGTTCTGTAACAATGGTGACAGGTGAGTGGTTGGCCTCGGATTTTGACATGAGAAATATGGTATTTAATTTTCCAAATAACATCTCAGAGAAAATTTGGTGCAATTCCAGAGCACGTGGGCTCTGATTAATCTCAGACAAATTATTTAGAGTATGTTGCAAGACGTGCATTATGTCCATGAGCTTGGACTTGTCCTCTGCTGTAACAACGAAAGCATTCTGTAACTACACTTTTGTTTTGTATTTTTTTTTAAACAGCAAATTGGGAACCCAGATTTTATATCATTTCTGTGTAAGAGTGTCTTATGTCACAGGTAGCCTTATTAAGTTCAGAAGGGGTTACTTCTTGAGTAAGAGCATTATAATAAATGTAGTTCTGAGCAAAAGTTAGAACTGTTACACATTCACAGATGGTCAGAGAAGTCTGCAAGGAGCTGTGGTCCTTCTGATGGATGTGAGAGCACAGGTCTCTGGGGGGGTACTAGGTCACGTAGTCACTGAGAATGTTATGTCACAGTGATACTTTTAATGGAAAAGCGACACATTCCTTTTTATTTTAATATAAAAAAGTAAAAATAAAAATAAAATAAATGTCACAAGCATTGTAATGAAAAAGATCAGATCAGGGAAACTGAAGAGGTGACACAATCACTTATTAATATAAAATTGCATAGGCTTACCTTTTTATATGTAAGTCTGTATATAAATGGAATATACTTTTAAAGAAATTTGCTGCCCTGTGAAAATGTATTACTGGAGGAGCTTTCTTAAAAATTCTGGACAAAAATGATTTCTGTTACAATGATACCCAAAGCATTATGATGTAGACAAATGCATTTGCTGAATGCTTGAATAAGGAGGAGTTTAAAAATGAAAATATTTGTGTTCAACTTGACAGGCAGAGCTACCTACTTGTGTTGCACTTGGGTATTTCCCTTCTCTGTCTTCACCCTCTCCCGAAGTTAATGTATTATAATTTATGCTAGACTCCTGGCACGCAGTTTCTTTTTCTTTGCTGCCACTATGAACTGCACAAGAGATTTGCTGATGTCATTAAAAAGGGAATGTGCAGCTTGTATGAATTACGACATTGAAGTCATTCCAAGGCCATCTGCTAGCTGTAACCAAATGTAATTAATGTTGTGGGACACAAACTCTTTTGTACTGTACAATATCTGATATGAAAATTGTAACCTCACTCTCTTTTAATTATATTCTCTAGATCAGAGATGCACAAACAATGTAAAGAATAAGTGTTGAAAAAAGATTAAATACTTTCTAGCTCCTGTGCTGGTGTGAACGGGTGTGCTCTTGGCTTTCCAGCGTTTTGTAGCTGCCTGGTTCCTGTGGCAGGAGTTCAGGGGTATTTAATGAGTTGTTAAACACGCCTATATGTGGGCATATATAGAGCAAGACAAGTATATATACACAAGTAGACACTTCCAAGTATATCTATACTTGCGTATATATGAGTGTGTGCGTGTTTCTTGCAGAATAATGTAAAAGGAAGTGTTTGTAGCGACCTTTCCTAAGGTGAATAACAGTCCTCAGCCAAGCTCCTAAATATTCTTGCCACAGGATTTAGCGTGCCCATACTGTGGCTGAGGATGGAAAACTCCATAGCAAAGCTACTGAATAGTGAGAAAATAAAATCCTATGATGGGCATGTGGGTACTAGAGCAAAAGCAGCAGTGACTTTAATGATTTTTTTTTTCTCTTTTCCATAGCTTAAGATTTTCCAGAATTTAATGATTTTTTTTCTCTTTTCCATAGCTTAAGATTTTCCAGAATTTAATGATTTTTTTTTCCTCTTTTCCATAGCTTAAGATTTGTGAGTGGAAGCAGAGATGGAACAGCAAGAATATGGCACTATCAGCAGCAGGATTGGAAGAGTGTAGTCCTGGATATGGCTACTAAAATGACAGGGTAAACCAAACTGAAACAGAACACATCCCACAGCAACATTTACATGCGAAACAAAATCTTCCATCAGATTGAAAACTATTTATTTACTTTCATTTTGAGTGAATTTCAGTGCATGTTTATTATGTATTGAAAATGCCGTGGCTCTATCTGTTAAGTTACACAGCCCCTGAAAGAAAATACTAATACAGTGGTAGTTCCCTGCTCTAGTGGTTGAGGAATATTTAATATTTTACATATGGAGTGAGAATGTCAAGTAGAATTTGTCTCACAGAAAGAGATTTCAGTAGAACCTCACTGATCATATGCCCACCTATGTTTTTTTTTTTAAAAATATCCAAAAGAACGGTTAGTTTCTGTCATCTCTCAGCAAAGTTACCTTAGCAACTGCCATAATCAATCTCCTCAGGTATTAGTGGTTATTTTATGTTATATACTCTGCTATTTTGTATTTTGTGCTATAGAATACAGTTAAAATTATAATGAATAATAAAATAGAGAAAAATGAGTGAAATGTGTGATACAAATGCAAATATGGACGTGTTCAACAGTGTCTGGTATCACACAGCTGCTGTTAGAGGTAATTACAGCTTCTGCTATGATTCCAGTTACTATTCCAGTAAAGAAATACAGTAAATAATTTTACTTTAAAAAAAAAAAAAAGTGTTGCCTGTTACAGCTTATTTTACCCACCTGAGGATAAATGAAAATAAGCAGTTAATGAGAGCTGTGACATAGATTCTTTTTCATCAAAACACTCATTTCTAAATACATTTTGGATTTTATTTCATTCTAAGGCCTGAGTTGCCTGGAATAATTCTTGTAATATATATCCAGGAAGTTTATTAACGTTGTATTTTTCCTTAAGGTTTTGAAGCAAGAGATGAGATATGTTGGTTTTGCTCTCAGGTTCAATTAGGGGTTTGAGTTTTTCTTTCCGAGATGCTCAAGAGACTTCTGTAAGTGGCCTTGTAATTGAATATGCACAATAACAAAAAGCAGAGATGGAGAAATCCATTAGGCATTTTGCTTTACAGAATTCTCTATATTTCATATGGTTACGTTTTTAATAAACTAGCTGTCAAAAGTATGATTTGGGTTTATTTAGCAAGTTTTTGCTTATTATAGAGTTTACTCATATTGATCACTGATAAGAAAAATGCCCTGTAGGAAAAAAACTTAATAGAACTGAGTATCTTGAAAGAAAAACTTGTAGTAAGTGAGGGTGATCACTTAGGAAGAGAAACTTGTCCTTTTTAAGGAAATAAAACTCTATAAATCTTAGTGGTACCGAGTATTTTCTGTATCTGTATTTACCACTGCAGAAGCCATCCTTCATTTGCCGGTAGCCACAGTGATGGCAGCCATGGTCTCCCTGATTTCATACTGAATTAGTGCTGTTAAATTTTTCCATATGTAGTAGCTGATTTTTTGCTTCTTTAAATTGTTAATTTCTTTAGAAACAGCGTAGCATCTGGGGAGGACAAGGTGACTAAGCTGAAGGTTACTATGGTGGCCTGGGATAGATATGATGCCACTGTCATCACTGCAGTCAACAATTTTCTTCTCAAAGTGTGGAACTCATCCACGGGGCAGCTTCTCCATAGCTTATCTGTGAGTAAAATTTAAGTGGGCGATCCCAAGTGGTTCTAATTCAACTCTGAAATTGATGTGAACTGCATCACCATTCTCCCTGACGAGGAGGGTTTTGTCCTGAAGTATGCTGTCTGTCTGATGCTTACTGGGAGCAGTATCTATCAGGGGAAGGGAGCTGATGAGCAAGGGCAGCCCTGTGGAGGCCACCATTTTTGTCCAGATTAGAAGTTGTAGCTATCCTGGCTGCTGATTTCTCCTTCTTCCCTGTCCCTCTCCATCTTGACTGTGCTGAGATGCAGTTCCAGGCAGTGATGATGCCAAACCTCTGACAGAAATGCTGACTAAGTACAGACACGGTTCTAGTCCAAGATCCAGTAAATTGAGCTGTCCTGGATGACTACCTGAACTGAGTTGTCCTCACACGAAATATTTTTATATTACTTGGAGATATTACATGGAGAACTATGGCTTTCTTTTTCACCCCACTTTCATTGCAGGGTCATGATGATGAAGTTTTTGTTCTGGAGGCCCATCCGTTTGACCAAAGAATTGTCCTTTCAGCGGGTCATGATGGAAATATTTTTGTTTGGGATATAGACAAAGGAACTAAAATTCGAAATTACTTTAACATGGTAAGAATGATCAGGGAAGGTGCTCGGTTGGTTTTTTTTTGGTTTTTTTTTTTTTTGTTTTTTTTTTTTTTTTTATACCTTTGTGTAAAACTGATCTTGAGGCAAAAGCAGATTTCATTATGTACCTATTGTGACCAATGTTACAACATTAGTCTTCTACATATTCTAGGGGAAAACTTGTACATATTAAAAAGAAAACTCTGTACTCTTCAGTAAGCAATACCAAAGTATGTTTTTTGCATATTGTAAGTGTAGCAGCAAGTCTTTCACAGGATCTGTTACATCTGAGTATTACTCATGTGCATGGGCATGGTTATACAAAAGATTTTAGTCACTCCCAAGGTAGAGCAATGAAAACCAGTAAGCCAGAAAAAATTGTAGCACGATGCTGTGGGCTGGGAAACGGTATGGTTGGCTCTGTGCTGCATTTATCTTAATGTGTGCCCAGTGCTGGGTTTGCTGGTTTGGTTCCAGTGCTGAGCAAATGCAGCTGCATGGCTTCAGGAGCTTTGCTGGCCCCTGGCACTCGGGGCTGTGAAACCTGCTCAAACAGACCTAATATGTGTCTGAGATCCTTGGTGCAGGCTTGCCCTGTGTCTGCCATTAACATAAAATGTAAACTTCTAGGTAGTTGTTTCAGAACATACATTAAAAGTTGCACTGAAGTTTTAGGAAAAGAGAAAATGCAAGGTTTTGTCTATTGCTCAGTGAAGCTTTAATAACTAAGTGGAAATAAATGTAACTGTAAATCAGTCTTGAGCAGGATGAGAATTTACACAGAATTGGGATTAAATACTTGATGGAGTACAGGGGAAATTTTTGTAAAAATGCTTTTATATATAAGGTGTGATTGTGAAAGGGATGCTCTGTGCTTGCGTGCAGATTGAGGGCCAAGGCCATGGAGCTGTTTTTGATTGCAAGTTCTCACCAGATGGACAGCATTTTGCCTGCACAGACTCTCATGGACATCTGCTACTATTTGGTTTTGGATGCAATAAATATTATGAGAAGGTGGGTTGGATGAATTTTAAACTCCTCTGTATCTAGACCCGATTTTGTCTTAGAAGTATTTGTTACAGTTTATTCTCTTGCTCTCCCCCAGACAAAGTGGTAATTAGATCATGAAGCGGTTGCTGTTTACCTAAATCAAAAAGATTTAGACAAAGAATCTCCAGACAGGGGAACAAAGCATTAAGTTCTACCTATTCACCTCTGTTGGCATATTTTCCTATTCAATATTAGCATCAGGCTTTGGTAATAAAAGACATTTGTGGTAGGAATGTGTTCTCTGTCATAACGTTTCTTCCGTTGATTCTAAGTGTAGGAATTGGGGTTTATGGGTATGGAGCCATTCCAAAGCAGCAAGGCAGCTGCAAATGGCCATTGATTTATTTACTAAATTGCTTTTCTTGCAGATTCCAGATCAGATGTTCTTCCATACGGATTACCGACCGCTGATCCGTGATGCAAATAACTATGTGTTGGATGAACAGACTCAACAGGCTCCGCATCTTATGCCTCCTCCGTTCTTGGTGGATGTGGATGGAAATCCTCATCCCACGAGATTCCAGCGGCTGGTACCAGGGAGGGAAAATTGCAAAGATGAACAACTTATTCCTCAGCTGGGATATGTAGCTAATGGTATGCTCTCTAAAACTCATGCATAATACATGAATTGCCCAGAAGTGAGCAGCAGATCAGTAGGGTAGTACTATAAGGATATGTTTGTTCCAATTGTCTTCTGAAACTAGTCATTTAAATTCAGTGTAAAGGTAGGAAGTGGGGTGGCTTTATGACAAAGAAAGTATATGGGATCAACTTGACTGGAGGCAAGAGGAGGGGACAGCAGTATTCCAAAATCTGTGGGCTTCTACCAGGTATAGGACAGCTTAAAGAATTGTCACATAAAACTTGATGTAACTATGCATATGAGTAAGGCAACAGGAAGGTAAGAAAGACATGGAAAAAATAGCTTTGGTTTATAAAACAGTTTTTTTTTTTTTTTTACTTGTAGATATAAGCTTTTTCAAAAATAAATCATCCATTATTACCTACTGAAGCATAATACCTTTCTGCTGTTTTTAAGGGTTTGTGTTTATATTGTACGTGTGGCCTGTAATTTTAGGTTTTTACTGTCACTTCTCTTTTAAACTTTGCCTCCATTTATTACATGGGAGCAGAAGGCCAGCTGGTGATCAGATGTTTTGCAGAGCAGACAAGTAATTGTGCACAATTTTAAGTTTGTTTCTGTGGTTTTAGTAAAACAGAAATTAATCATTTTATAAGCAGTTGTGGCTTTGTTTTTGTCAAGGTGATGGTGAAGTAGTTGAACAAGTCATTGGGCAGCAAACTAATGACCAGGATGAGAGTATCCTTGATGGAATGATCAGAGAGCTACAGAGGGAACAAGATCTGAGACTAATTAATGAAGGAGAAACTCTTCCAAACCCTCCACTCAATAGATCCCACTCTGTTAATGGGGGTAAGTGTCCCTTCTTTACCTCCCTAATTTCTTTCTCTAAAGCATAGTAAAGTACTAATTAAAATGTGTCAATGTAAGTTTTGAGGCTGTCTTTGAGAATGCTTTTCTCTCTTGTTTTTATACACACCGTTAACCTGTGTGGAACAGCTGGATGTTCTGCTGATGCAGAGGAATTAAGAGTTGAAGTTGCAGCTGAGGGCACACAATGGTCTAACTGGGCTGTTTCTGATTACCTAGAACTATTAGACTGTAATTATTCCTGTTATAAACCTTTGCTAAAATAATAAATGTAAAATTCACTGTATTGTCTTGATGTCAGTCACTGCAGAGATGATACTTTGTCACTGCAGAATGTCAAGATAACAGTGTATAATTAGAGAAAGGAGTACACTGTTGTGACAGACTAATGGCTTCCTGTTGCAGCGTAAATGCTAAGGCTGAGCATCAGTGTTTATTTTATAAACATGTCTACTCTGTCTTAGTGTTTCCTTAGAAAGCCTGAGATTATTCACCTGGTAAGTGTTCTGCTACTGTGATTTTATTTTTAATACACAAAGTGATTAAAAATTTAAAACAGTCTCAAATCAGATGCAAACAGCTGACACTGAAGCAGCTGCCTGAGTTCAGTTGCTGTGAGAGAGCAGATGCTGGGGACCCGTGCTGCAAGTCAGCCTCAGCTTTTAAAAAACTTACATCTGCTAATAAATTAGTTTGAGGTTAAATGACTGAGTGCACATGTTTGAATTAGATTTCTCGGCAAAGCTTATTAGGACTGCTAGATTTGGAGTTGCTTGTCTTTAAATTGAAGAAGGAATAGGAAAAATATTGGTGAAAAATGCTGAAAATACACTTGCTTTGATCTAAATTGGTATTGTCAAGGTGGCCTAAAAGCCAGCTTCAACTCACAAGTCTTTTCTGCTTCTTATGATGGGTTGGTGTGTTGTGCAGTCCTGGTTCTCAATTTTATTTGTATGTGCCTGTGGTGGTGTGGAAAGGGATTTCCAGATATGAGTGGTATAGAAATTATAGTTACCTTATAGAATTTGCATTGGTCAGTGACTTTGCTACACGAACTGCCCATTTATGTAGATTAATTAGAATATGTATGAAGTACCTCATATTTAAGTAGCTGAATATTTTTAAATAGGTTTGCACAACCATGAATGCAATACATTCATGTGGTTAAGCATATTTAAGGTTATGGAAATTGTGTTGATGCGTTCCCAGATGATGAGATAAATTAAGGCAATGATGACAGCAATTCTGATACTATGAGCCTTTTTGTCTCACTTTGCTACCTGAAGTGTCTGTTTTCTCCTGAGTACGTAGCACTGTGTTGTGCCACCTGATGAAAAGCCCAGGTCAGGAGCGGTGTTGGTGGCACAGTAGATAAGTGTTACAAATATAGAACAAATGGAGGTACAACAGAAAACTTAAATCTTATAGCAGTCTGTTGTCAACCTCATCTCTTCTTGTACCGTGGAATTTAAAACTCATGATGTCATAGACTTTAAATAAGACTTTGATTTGAAGGAAGTACCTTTAAGACTTTTCTAATAGATTATATTCTTTGCTTGTCTCCAGTATCTCTAAGATACAGCAAGCCACAGTGATGTTACAGTAGCATGTGTGTCAACAGTGGTCCAAGGCCAACACACAAAAATGTTCATCTGAACCAGAAGTCAAAGCCACTCAACGTAGAATAAGTGATGTTTATTGCCAAAAAAGACACTCTGTGCAGTCCTTAAGTTTTAAATTCTAGATTTTGTTGATGGTTTGTAGTAGTAAAGGAAAAAATCTTGTTCTTCCATAGCTCTTCGAAGTCCAGGTTTAGATGTTGCATCTCCACCAAACGTTGGTCTCCGGAGGAGCGGTCAGATCGAAGGGGTCCGGCAGATGCATCACAACGCTCCCCGAAGTCAAATGGCAACGGAGAGAGATCTCATGGCGTGGAGCAGGAGAGTGGTGGTCAATGAGCTTCCTCCAGGCATCAGCAAGTAAGATGCTAAGTGAGACAGGGAAAAAAAGATCAATTTGTATGGTGTTAGTGATCCTTCCAACTATTACAAGTTTTAAAAAAATGATTTTTCAGAAATGTGTGGGCTTTTTTTGGTTTGTTTTGAAGTTCAGATGTCGGGATTGGAGTGGTAGCCTCTGCTGGAGAGTTGAGAACAGTAATTCCTTCTCTTCATAATTAAATCTTTCTTCAGCAGTTCAAATACCACATTTTCCTGAAGCTTTATTTAAAAAAAACCTTAAAAATAATTTTTGTACATTTCAGTTTACTTAATAATAATTATGAATGCTCAACTAGCAGTTTTACTTCCACAACTTGTGATTCCAGCAGTGAAGTATGTGTGGATGCTACTAGGAGCACTTCTGCACAGATTGCTTTTAGTGAGGAAACCAGAAGTATTTCAATGTATATTAATGAGACTGACAAATTATATGATGATTTATTGAATAAAATGGACGTTTCCTACTTATCATTAGGGTCCAGGAAGAATGTCGAGCTGCCAAAGGTGAAATCGAAATTAATTTATACACTGTTGAAAAGAAGAGAAAGCCATCCCACACCTTACAACGGGTGAGTTCTTTCACTAGAAGGGAAAACCTGGGTGTGAAGCTGAGCACTGAGAAAAAAGAGCCTGACAAAAATCCAAACCCAATGTTATTGAATTATTTAGAAGACCAATAGGACTAAGTGTTTCTCTGGATCTCTGACTTGCTTCTGGAATTGTAATTTGTCTGTCTTTATACTCTAATATATAAGTAGCAGTGGTAAATCTCAATCTTTAAGGCTGCAATAGTGGGAAGATGCTGAGAAAGGAAAAGAACAGAGCCACAGTGGGTGCTCAGTTTGACTTGTGGAAACCAGGAGAAATATTAAAGGTGCCACACTTACTAAAATGGCTAGGTAGTTTTAGAAAAAAATCTTATTTCTCCATAACTTCCTTTCCAAAGACTGCTACTTTAAAAAGTAGAATTGATTCTGAACTAAAAAAACCACACCTTCACATGCACTGAAATGAACCACAAGTGTGTAAAAGAGATCTTTAAAATTCTAATTGTAGATTTCCTAGTTGTCATTTATAAATGGGATACTATGTACAGTCGCTTTATTGAGGCATCTTTTAACTGTGCGCCTTTTAACTGTTTAGTAATGAATTCATTATTAAATCTCCAATCTTTTTCTTTTTGTCCCTCCTGTCCTGTGATAAAAGAATGATTACCAAGTGGGAAGTGGCAGGTCTTTGAGAAGAAACCAACGCAAGCGCCAGCACGCCTACCAAACGCGCTCCACCATAGAGCACAACCAGCCAGGAGCAAGTCAGAACGCACGTGCCCGGGAGGAATCAGACAGTTCCTCAGAGGTCTGATACATCCAGCCCTTCTTTTAATAGGTTCCCTGTTCAGAAATAGCCTGGTTTGACAGCAGAAGTGGTGGGAGCCCATTAAGGCTCTTCCATCTGGGAAGAAACACTCAAATCATTGAGACGTTTGGATTTGTGGTGTTACTGTAGTTTGTTGATCTTGGAGAGGGGAAGGATCATTTACCTCAGTTCCAGGGCAGTATTCAAAACTGGCTTAAAACAGGTTGTGTATTTTTGGAAATCTGAAACTCCTTCAAGTAAATTTAACTGGGTTGTGTTAAACCACTTGCTATTTTGGGATTTCATGCTGCACCTATATTCTAGGTCACATCCAGTACTTTGATTTCATCTACATCTGTAGACTGCTGTTGAAAGAGATTGAGTATTGGTATTAATCATTGATATTGGCAAGGGAAGAACTTAAAATATACCAGATTAAATATAACTTGTTCTCATTAAGGAAGCCTGCAAAGTAAAAAGAGACTGAACATTGTTACTTTGTAAATGCATTGAACATACGGAATAGCTATAAAGCTGGTCACTTGACGCTAAAAGTTATTAATCAGACAATTAAATAAGAACTCATTCTGTGGTTCCAATACCATTAAAATTCACAGCTCTCTTTCTAGAAATTCTATAAGCATATATTATAATTTTAATTAAATTTCAGAAAGAAATCGTGGACTCACTTAAAACTAAACCAGTTACTAAACCAGTAAAAATTAAACCAATCCTTAAACACACAGCATTGCTCAGGTGAGGGAACTCGTTTAACTTGCTTACATTTTAAACTGGGCCCAAAAGTGAAACCTTTGGTTTTGAATACAGGAAGATGAGACCGTTGGCACAAGCGATGCATCTATGGATGATCCTGTGGCAGCTTGGCAAAGTGAAAGCAGTTCCAGGTAACTTTTCTGCTCTCTTAATTGGTAACAGTAGTTGATTATATACTTTAAGACAGTTGATACTGTGATATTATGGCTACAGATCAGTACAGATTTGTTGCACCTTGTGGCAGATTGAAGCAAAGTGTTTAGTACCCTCAGGTAGCTTAAAACAGTAACCAACAAAATTTGTGGACTCTGTGAACAAATACATTTGAGTGACTATTTAACTGTAGAATATTTATAACAGTATTTCACAGAAAACCAGTGTGTAAAATTCTTAATTTTGAAGACTGACTTTCCCCCCGCCCCAATTCTTCATGAAGCATTTCATATTGTATTTTTTGTGGGCTTTTTTTTTTTCCTAAGTCAAGATCAATTTTTGAAAGACCGTTTATAAGGAAATGTTGTCTTTAATTAAGAACTGCTTGAAAAAAATCAATGCTGTTTAGTCCTGTGTGACAGAAATATTGATAGAAGCGCGTACATATCTTGTGTTCATACATCATTATTTCCTAATTTTCCTGTTGTCAATATGTATTTGTGTAGAATTTCTACAGTCTCTTTTCTTATTTTTAATGTGATGCTTTTATGGCTGGAAGGGACATGAGCTAATATAAATACTGTATGTGTGTTATTTGAATATTGAAGAAGTCAGAACTATATTTTTGGAAGAGTGCTCTAGTTTTCTAAATTTTTCATGCACATTATGCAGTCAGTTCCTATGAAGTCAGCCTATGAATCAGTGAGATAATTAGTATGAAAGTAGGTATCAGCCATAACTGTAGTTTTATTGGGAGTTTGTAATTGATAAAATAATTTGCTGAAATACACTAACTAGATAACACTTAGGTTTTCTTTAAACTCACATGAGAATGCAATTTTGTGCTAATCCCGACATCTGTTCCACAGAACCAGAAGAACAGGTTGAATATTTGGACCTTTCACTCCATTGTGTGAAAACTGAGGTGCTGTTTTCTTTCTTACCACTTTTTATTATCTACAGTGATTCGTCAAGTGAATATTCTGACTGGACAGCAGATGCTGGGATTAATCTCCAGCCTCCAAAGAGACAAACCAGGCAGGCGGCTCGGAAAATCTGTAGCAGTTCTGAAGATGAAAATATGAAGGGAACAAAAGGACTGGAGCCAAAACGAAGGAAACTTAAACAGCCTAGAAAAAAGGTCAGCCTTTTTAATTTTTTAGGGTCTTTTTGACTTTATGAATACACTTTTTTTTTTTTTTTGAGAGGTTGTTTTCAAAGTAAAATTTTTCACAAACAAATACACAGTAAGAAAGATCCTATATAGCACAATAATTGTAATACCAGACTAATTTTTGTTTTGTTTTTGTGCTGCAGCGACATAGATATGCTTCCACTTCCATGCAGGTAGTTCTCTGTTACAGGTTGGATGTTTTCTCCAAGATTTATGCTCTTCCCTGCAGTTAGATTTACTCCAAGGTGGTTTTGTTGTAAAATTATAATGCATCTGCATTATATCCACATTGTCAGATTTTTTTTCTTAGTATTTTTTTAAAGAAGACATTTAGAATATTTCTAAGGAAAGAATACAATATCTTTATTTATGAGCATTTTAATCTTCTATTATATTTATAAGAAACATGTCTTATTCCCTACTGTTTAGTTGAGGTTTTTGGAACATTGACATCCCAGCATTTGCTTTGCTATATATGTGTTTCGAATTATCTTAAGTGGTGTTTGAGCAGTTTTTCGTACGTTCTGCCGTAGTAATTACAGCTTGCATTCTAAATTTAATGTAATGTATTTAAGAAACCAAGTGGACTGCTTTCGATGGAAGGAGAACCCAGTGAGGAATGGCTGGCCCCACAGTGGATCTTGGACACCATACCCCGCCGCTCACCTTTCGTCCCACAAATGGGAGACGAGGTAATGAGTGTAGCAGTTCTCAAATTCCCACCCAGGCTGATGAGCTAGTAAATGTAGCAATATTTGCAGTGAATCGTGCTCAAGAGAGGCTGAGTTTTGATAACTTCCTCCCCCCTGCCCCCCCCCCTTTTTTTTTTTTTTTTTTTCCTGCTACCAGATAGCTGTCCTGTGTCTCTTTCTGTTCATGTGTAACTTAAGAGTAGCAGGAAGTGATTGTGCATTTTCAGACAAACCCACACACTTCTCAATGATCCCAAGTTGGAAAACACACAGTGGGTGTCACTTTGGGGGCTGATATAAATATTTTTAAGGAGAAGGGTGCTGTGTAATGAAATAAAGAAGTATGCAATGTGCTCTGAAAGGAATAGTGCCTGACGTGTTTGTTGAAATTTTAGAATAAGCAGGAAGAGAACAGTAAGTAAAATAAAATAAACTCTTTTTTTTTTTTAAACTTTTATTTTAAGATCATATACTTTAGGCAAGGCCATGAAGCTTATGTGCGAGCAGTAAGGAAAGCAAAAATTTACAGTATTAACATGCAAAAACAACCATGGAACAAAATGGAACTCAGGGTAAGTTAAACAAATACTTCAAAGAGCTGCCATATTTTTTTTCTGCTTTACTCAGATTTCATATCAAGAGAAGAGCACATATATGCACCAGTATTCTCATATGTCTATGCCAGCGGTTCTGTTAATGAAAATAATTGCTCTACTGGAAAAACATCCGGTTGCTAGTCCTAGGTATTCAGTTATTCCAGCTGTAACCTTCAAAGGCATTATAACTTTGTTAGGTAAAGGAAATAGTATTTCATTTAGGATAGAGATCTTACTACTGGCTGATGTTTGAACATAAAGGCTATTGTTGAATTTCCGTTGTAAAAGGAAGAATTTCCTTTGATTTCCCCTGTCTGTCACTGTGCAGGGCTGAGAGGCCCTGGGTTTAGTCAGGTTTAACCTTTGGTGCCATCAGTGTGGTTAAAACCAGAGGGGTGTGTTCCTTAGAGCCTTACTACAAAATTGAAATAATTTCTGGGTATCCTTTTCACAGATCTGCCAAGGGAATGAGCATCTCAAATCTTTTACATTCTTTAGGTTACTGTGATTGATATTTAGGATTTGGAAAATTTTCATGGGTAAAATTGCCTGGGCTCTGGAGTGGAAGCATATTTGGTTTTTATTAATATGTTTGGTCTTTTAACACAGATGTTTTTGTTGTTAGCAAGTTAAAATAATACTGTTCCATGCTTATTGATGAATAGGAACAAGAATTTGTGAAGACTGTAGGAATTAAATATGAAGTTGGCCCTCCTACGCTCTGCTGCTTGAAGCTTGCATTCCTAGATCCAATCACGGGCAAAATGACAGGAGAATCATTTTCCATAAAGTAAGTTGCTGAGATGCTGATGCTACCCTTCTTTTTTTTTTTCTCCTGCAAGGCATGATGATGGTATTAATTAGTTATTACGCCAATCTTGCAAACAAAATGCATGAAATGTTGTGTTTGGAGACTGTATTGTACATGTGGAACTGTGTGTATGGGTCCTAGAAGCAATTTTTTTTGTCTGTTTCATGAAGGTACCATGATATGCCAGATGTTATTGACTTCCTTGTGCTGCATCAGTTTTATAATGAAGCCAAAGAAAGGAACTGGCAAATAGGTGACTACTTTTTTTCCACTTCCATATGTTTTGCAACATTTGTGCAGCTGTTTAATAGGATACAGCGTCTCTCTTACATGATGGAAAGGACTATAATACACATGATATTATAGCAATCATTGGACACTTTATTTGATGTTTGCTCAATTCCTGTTGCAGAAAAAAAAAAAAGAAATTAGAGAAACTGTTATGAGGCCTGTGATAGCAGAAGAATCTACTGTTACATTGTGATTTGAGACATGGAAGCAGCTGTGACCAATTACTAGAGATGTGAAAGTCCTCTCTTTAAGGGAAAGGCTTGACTCCTGTAGTGCAAAATTTAAGAATCGAAGTAGTGTGTTTATGAAAGATGAAGTTGATTCTCTAAAAAAAAGTATCTAACAATTATTTATGTTGGACTTTTCCTGAATGCAATCTTATTCCTTATAGGGGATAGATTTCGCAGTATCATAGATGACGCTTGGTGGTTTGGAACCGTGGAGAGTCAGCAGCCATTCCAGGCAGAATATCCTGATAGTTCCTTCCAGTGCTACTGTGTTCAGTAAGTATTCACTTGTTTAAGTCTGGTAGAGAAAAGGTTTATTTTTATATTCTGCTCTAACTTACGCATTCAAATGTTTGATTTTTAATAGCTGGGACAATAATGAAAGAGAGAGGATGAGTCCATGGGACATGGAACCAATTCCAGAAGGAAGTAAGTGTGTGTTGAATTCCTGTCCATATATTCAAAGTAAATAGGGGGGATTTTTTGCCACTGCTAGTGCTTACTGTTGTTGAATTCTTCGTATTTAGCTGCTTATCCAGAGGAGGTTGGTGCTGGAGTTCCTGTGACTCCGGATGAGCTGACAGCTCTTCTCTACAAACCCCAGGAAGGAGAATGGGGGGCCCATTCCAGAGATGAAGAATGTGAACGAGTAATCCGGGGGATTGAGCAACTTCTTTCCCTTGGTATGTTTGGGGGGGAAAAGGTGGAGGGAATTAAGAGTATCTGTGGTGGCACCTGACTGAAGAGTAGATAGGAAGGAGTGTTGGGAGTTGGTGTGGAGTATTTGAAATGTGCCCAACTAAATCTTTGAAAAGAGCTTTTTAAATTTCATATGGTGTCCTTTTCAGTTATACTGCTTTTTGTTCTAAGACTTGACCTGCTTCCTGTCAACTTAATGGGGATTCTCAGTGGGTCATCTCTAAATATGAATGAGCAAAATATTGAATTAAAAAACCAAACCAACAAGTCCTCACCAAATGTCCTCACTGACAAATACCTTGTAACTAGCTTGTAGGAGTTTAATAGCATGCTATGATTTAAATTCTAGCCTATATTTATATACAGGACATGTCTGTGTTCTTGGTTTATGTTGCTTGTTGTGGTATTCCTGTTGTCAGTGCATATGTCATGTTGCTTTTCAGTCGTACAGTTGGCTGCTGGCATGCAAATCTCAGATGCTGTTTTAAGAGTAAAAATGCTGTTTTAAGAGTAGTTAACAGATGGCATGAGAGAGAACCCTACCCTTTGGGTAATGACATATCCAGCCATAGTTCTCTATTGCTTTTGCTGAATTCTCAGGAAGAAAACCCAGAAACCCTTATAAGGAATCTAGTTATCTCATAACTTCCCTTCTGGTATATTCTGAGGCATTTAAATGATTTTGATCTTTTGTCTTTCAGACATTTCTAATCCCTTTGCTGTTCCTGTGGACCTTAGTGCCTATCCCATGTATTGCACTGTTGTTGCTTATCCAACTGACCTCACCACAATCAGGAGGAGACTTGAAAACAGGTTTTATAGGTCAGTTAGATTTGTATTTGTTTGTAATCTACATTTGCTATAGCCCCGTTGAGTACAGATATAGTTGAATACTATGTAATGCCACTTCAGCAATATATTTCTTTGATGAGCCAACAGCGTAAGATCAGATTCTATTTGGCCTTGGGCAAAGTGAGTCTTCCTGAATAATAATTTCTTTTGGCCACATTGTTAAGGCAAAAGCTGGTATATCTGGATCCTGGAGAGTCTTTTTTGTTTAATGTACTGAGCCTTACTCTCTGGGTGCATTGTAGGCAGAGCATATTTCCCTCATCTGCAGCTCTGCTGCCTTTGAACCAGATGCTTTGCTTGAATTGCAGTTGCCAGAAGTGGGCTAAATAGTGCTGTAAACCAGAAATCTCGTTTTTTCTGGTTAGCCTGGAGATAAAAGATGTCCAGCTCTTTTTTTTTTTTTTTTTTTGTCTGAGGACCACTGTATCTCTAAGGCTTTCTATAAGTGGGAGCAGTCAGCAGTTTCCTTAAGTGGGTTTGTTTCCTCTTTTCATTCCATTCATTTCTGATTTGAAGAGGGGCAGCATTTTTCCACACAGCTCTCGTGGAGAGCCTGGGGTGGTCAGCAGTATGTGAACAGAAACCACTTACCTTGGTCTCTGGCAACCTGGTTACCTTGGACCTGGATTACTTTATTCCCTTATTTACTGAGAAATCCTACTGAACTCAGAATGAAAATAATCTATACCTTCTCCATCCCTTTCCTTTTTTAATTTTATTTTTACTTTAGGAGAATCTCTGCGCTGATGTGGGAGGTACGATACATTGAACATAATGCTAGGACTTTCAACGAGCCAGACAGTCCTATAGTCAAAGCAGCCAAAATTGTAACAGATGTCTTACTTCGCTTCATTGGGTAGGCATGTCTTTCACTTTATAGACCTGACATCTTGAATTTCTGAGATATTTGATTACGTATTTTTGGCTTTTGTTATTGTCCTGCAGGGATCAGAGTTGTACTGATATATTAGAAATATATAACAAGGTGAAAGCAGAAGACCTGAGTAGTACTGATGAAGAAGAGGAGGTAAGACCATTAAGTCTGATTGTCAGAACTTCTTCCCTTTTTAAATCCAGCACCTGGAAGATTTTTGAGGTTTTATTTTATGGGTACTTGCACTGAGATTTTGAGATGAGGCTATTTAGGTCATTTGAGTTGCTCACCTGGGGCAATAAGCTCCCTTAAGTAAGTAAAAATGATTCTGGGAACTGCCTATCTTTAATCTTCTCTCAGTACACGGTATTTTGTTGTGTGAGGAAGTATTCGTAAGTACAGGGAAAACAAACTGGGGCTATTACTCAGTCTGCTGAACCAGAAGGACAACAGCTCTCCCATTGTCAGGGAGGCAGCAGAGCTGGTTTTCTTATGTAATTCTGTGTCATTTCCCATCCCTTGCACTGTGGAGTGAAATAACAGGTAGACACCAGGTTAGAGATCGCTTCTTTTCACTTCTTCTCTCTCCTTACACCTTCGCCCCCTTAAATGCAGTTTGAAAACATTTTGAAATGCACTATAGTTCTGTTGCAAAGAGGTGACCTCTTGTGACCTAAGTTTTGTTTTACTTTTTCTGTGGTGCTTTCTAATACGTGAGCTAATACAAGATTTAGTTAGAGGGTTTCTTTCCTCCACCCTTCCCCCAGGCATACTCTGTTGTTGCAGTTTTGAAATATTTGAGTTAAACCTGATGTTGCTTGACTACCTATATGCTTATGGCTGGTGCTATTGTCTTGGATTTATATTGTAACTTAAAATCTATACTACGGTGTAATAATGTAATTAATGTTATAAAACTGAAGATACAGTAACAGCATCTATTTTCACAGACTATTAAAAGAGTAATTTGAAGAAAATGAGGGATTCCCATGACTTAAATCGTAGACTCCCCTTTCCCAATTAACCTTCTTGTGCCAATTGTGAATTTCTTCTCTTCCATGTCAAGCAGTGACCAGGAGAGTCCAGAATTGCTACTAAAGCGCCTTGTTTTCTCTCCGGCCTTTCAAAGAGCATGTCTTGGTTTATAATAAGTCTTAAAATAAGAAAGAAATTACTTTCAGATCCTTTATAGGTACTCCCAAGAAATCACTTCTCCTATCCAAATTAGTTATTTTTAATTAGTGGTAGAAAGCTGTGTAAAAAGGAGTTTTTGTTCTAATTTCTAAATGCAGATTCTGAGAAGAGTATTAAATATACATAATGTAAGTAAGGCACTACATGAAATCTGAGTAAACGGCCAGTCATACAGCTGCTTAGAGCATGAGCATTTAGGCAGGGGAATATAGGTCTGCAAGACCAGGTCTTAGCTGAGTCTTTAGGACTGAAAATAAGCCATTCATATTTCTCACATATTTATATATAATTTATATGGAAGCAAACTTGGAAGAGAGATGAAAGAGCTTATCCGCATCCACCTAATTAAAGTTATTTAAGTCCTAGTTTGAAGCTAGTTTGTTTTGCTTGAACCATTCATTGCATTTGAGATGCTTCAGCTTGTGTTTGTTGTTGGCTGTTTGGTTTTAAACCCTTTTTCCATTGCTGAGGGTGTGTGTAATCGTTACCTTTGCCTTTAGGTGGCAGAAGTCGATGTAGATTCAGACGCTCCAGGAACTTCCTCTGGAAAAAGACGAGTGAGTAAATATTTCTGCTCATTCTTGCTTGTGAGAGGAGATAGACCAGCTACTGAAACACTCCTTTAGGTCTGGAATGGTTTAAATTTGTCATAGCCTATAATCTGTAGGACTGGCTGAATTCAGTTCCACGTATGTGTCAGTGTTGGCAGACCAAGGAAGTTGTTATTCTGGAAAATTTACTTGAATGTTGAAGAATCTTTTCTTTTTTTTTTTTTATTACTTTGATTTGAAAGATTCAGTTTTCAATCAAAATTGGATGAAAGCTGACAAAATCAGCAAGCCTGGATGTGAAATATGTCATATCTCATGAGTTTGTGTTTATATATTACCAGAAAAGGCATATTTCTGCAATTTGCATATTGTTGTGCTGTCAGCTATGCTTTAATCTTACTGCAGTTCTCTTTTTAATTGTGGAAATCTGCTTTGAAGCATAATACTAGTAAATTAATAGGAACGTAAAGGCAGAAGTCTGGATATTCTGAAAAATGATGAAATACATCTGTTTTCCTGTAGGTAAGACGACGAATAAAAAGACAACCCACGAAAGCAAGTCCTGATGCTTGGAAAGACCAATGCAAGCAGTTGTTAAACCTGATTTATGAAAGAGAGGACTCGGAGCCTTTTAGGCAGCCAGTTGATCTCTTCTCCTATCCTGTAAGTACAACTTCCATATTCAAAATTAAAAAAGCCTATTGTTCATCCTTTGGCAAAACAGCCGTGCTGGCCATGTTTCCAGCCTCTCCCTTTCTGAGCTGGAATGCACCGGGTTCCCTGCACTGATGTTTTCAGGAAATTATGTGCAGCAACTGTCAAGAAGAAATAATTACTTGAGAGCCACTGTTGTGGATGAACACTTAGGTGTTATTACTGCTGTAAGATTTGACAGCCTTTATTATTTTCTTGTATATTCTTATAGGATTATCGAGATATTGTAGACACTCCTATGGACTTCAGCACTGTGAAAGAAACCTTGGAAGCAGGAAACTATACTAGTCCCTTGGAATTCTACAAAGATATTCGTTTAATATTCTGCAACTCTAAGGCTTACACTCCTAATAAAAAGTCTCGAGTAAGTAATAAATTTTAATCCCTTCTTTACAAAGACCCTGGCCCTATGTGAATACAGTGCATGAAACAAGGTCTGTGTCTGGAGAGCGAAGCGCTGCGTTGTGCAATAAAACCAAGTAGTGTGTGTCAGTTCTGGGACCTGTGGTTATAAACTTGTTTTGTTCTGCTCACGCAGATCACTTCTGAATTTCATTTTCATCTGAACTTCCCGAGCTTAAAGCTTCTGAGAAATGGTATGGTAACCATTGCAACTATTTCTTTGGATATTTGTAGCAGAAAACTGATCACGAGTTGCTTTAAATTTTTTTCAATAATTTATTCCTGGAAAAAAGGCTATCAGCTTGATAACTGCATATATATATATATATAGTAGGATCCTTTTTCAATCTGCTGGTAATGCAAGTATTATGCAGTATGTCTACTGCATTATGATACTTGATTTTTTTTCTAGTTTACTTAGTGTACTTGGCAAAACTTTCACACAGCGTTGCCTGTGTTTCTCAGATGCCAATCTTGGTTTTTTTTCTGCAGAAGTCTACTTAGGCAGAAAAAGTGTATTGGATTGGAGCCCTAAACAGGGTATGGCAAGAGGGAAAGGGGAGATTGAAACGTTAGAATATAGATATTTTTAGGTAGGCTAGGTAAAGTGGCTGCTAAGTGTATGACTGATCGTGTAAACATGGCTCTGTCTGATATGTGTTCCTGTGCAGTATATTCCTGTCGGCTCTTCCTAAGGCATAAAGTGATCAACTGACTTTAAAATTTCCAAATGTTTTGATAATATATTGTTTATGCTCAAAAATTCACAAGTTGACAGGACGCAGTTTTTACCACTGCTAATGCAAAATAGAAATCGCGTGGTTGATGTCTTCATCATATAAAAGTAGAAAGGATTTTGACAGTGTTTCCAAACATTAAATTGTAATGACCTTATTATTATTAGGAGAAACTGCATATTAAATAAGATGCTTAAGTTGTGACAAAATCACATCTCTGAACCATGTCATTTAGCGTAGATAAAGTGCTGGTCGCAAAGTCACTGATTATTTGTTGTGTAGAAACAGGGGCACTTATATTAGGAATATTAGGAAAATTTTTTACACTGAAAGGGTTATTAAGCATTGGAAGAGGCTGCCCAGGGAAGTGATGGAGTCCCCATCCCTGGTGGTGTTTAAAAGCCAGGCAGATGTGGTGCTGAGGGACATGGGTTAGTGATGGGTTTGGGCAGCGTTGGGTTGATGGTTGGACTCAATGATCTGAAAGGTCCCTTCCGACCCAGACAATTCTATGATTCTGTGATAAACCATTAAGAAATGCATGCCATTTGGGACTAAACTGAAATACTATTACTAAAAGCACAATAATACATAGAATTTAATATTTCTGCAAAATTTAGATGCGGCATCTAGCATGATGTGACACCAGAGTTTGTTATGTGAGGTGCTGACAAGCAGGAGAAAGAGCTTTGAGTGCACGTACAAATGGTGCTGGATGGGAGGAAGCAGGAGGTTGGGTGATGTTACTTGTTACTCGAGGAGTAATACACAGTCCTAGCTCATCAGCAGAATTAACAGCTCCTGTGATTTGTGTAGGCAGGACAATAAGAGTAAGCTTGAAGCAGGATGGTGCCGTGGGAGAGGGGAACTCCAGCTGAGTGTTAGCAAACGGGAGAGAAAGCACAAATTGACATCGCTGAAGGTAGATTGAATAAGAGCTGTGAAGTAAGCTCTGTGAGTGAGAGAGAAGTAAGCTCTGAAGATAAAGACCAGTAACTCTTGCTTTAATAGAAAGGGAGTCAGCAGAGGATTGCAAGAAGAGAGGTGATTGGAGGGTGTTTTCTGTGTGCTTCACATCAGAGTAAACTTGGCGAGTTATTTACTGCTGCGCTCTCCCTGGGAACTTCCCTGTGTATTAATAACTGAACAGCTTGTGAGTCAACTCCCAAATTGCTTTAATAGAGTGGCTCATCAATATCCGTTTGCTTAAATGCTGGGAAGTGCCTGGGTGAGGTGATCCTTGCTGGAGGGCTGGGGCTTCCTGCCACTGCAGGTTCCTCTGCTGCCAAATGTGGGCCAACGTCCTGAGGTTTTCTGGCCCATTTTACTGTCTTTGCATCAGCATCTTGAGTGGAGGCAAGGAGGGCAGGGTCCTACATACCAGAGCTGAAGAAAGAGAGGTTGCTAAAATAGAGGAGTCTGGGCAAAAATTAAGTTATATGAATGTAAAGAAAACTCTACATCAAAGAGATTTTATATTCAGACGGACTGCAAGAAATAGGAAGAAGTCTGAGATGATGGTAACATCTTCTTGATGCTGTTAACATAATTTTCAGAAGACTGGATGCAGCAGAAGGCTCGGGATATGTGGAAGGAATAATGAGCTTTGTTTTATTTATGCTGAGCTTGGACAATGAGTTTGTCATAACTCAAGCACATCCAAGGTAAAATCTTGAACAGAAGTAAATACAGTTGGAAAGATGGTGAAATACCCACAAGTGAGTTTGTGGATGAAGCTACACAGAGGCAAAGCCTAGAAAGAGGACAGGAAAATGGTTTAAGGACTTTGATGTCTGGCTTACAGAAATTAGGATGGAGGACATTTAGCTGGCTCTGTGTGTGGCTCTGTAGGGGTGGTGTAAGGGCTTGTCACTTGGGAATTAAAGGAAAAAGAAAGGTGAGGGGGCAGCAAAGTTCAATTGGTTTTCCCTTGGTACTTCAAGTTACCTTAGCTCATCAGTTATGCTTCATGGAGATTAAAAAAGGAGGCTATATTTCAATAATCTAGGTATCAATTTTCCATTAACTCTGAAAATCTTTTGTACAATTAGTAATTACATCCTTTTATGAAAACACTTTGTTGTGAGAATACGCAGGTACCACAGAGAGAAATTATCTGTAAAGAACCCCACAGTTGAATGTCACCATGAATTTTTCTTTTGTGCTACAAAGTCTGGGCATCTTCCTGATTTTTTAATTTTATTTTATTTTTGCCAACCTTCTAGTTATTCAACTTCTAATAAGTATGACCATGCTTTCTCACTCCAGATTTACAGCATGACACTTCGACTATCTGCCTTATTTGAAAATCATATGAAAAATATCATCTCTGAGTACAAGTCAGCGATGCAATGTCAGAAGAGGAAAAGGCCACGGTACCGAAAACGGCTAAGAAGCAGTAGCAGTTCCCCATCCACTAGCAGAGCATCCAGGTACTGTGGCGATGGTGGGACTTGCTGTCGGTGTCGTTGGAGATGACATTTCAGAGACAGGGTGGTCAATTCAGAGACAGGGTTTCCTGATCGCACAGTCAGTGACAGTGTTGCTCGTTTCCTGATGCAATTGCTCTTGTGGGTGATAAAATCATGAGCTCAAATTCCATGTTCAGTTTGTAGCTTGTGCATAGTTGTGGTAAGTGAAAGACTATATAATTAGACGTATTCCCTCTGGAGGAAATGGAATAGCAAGTTTCTTCTTCTGCCTTTGTTTAGTCACTGTTGAAAAAAGTGTTGTATAGCACTTTTCTGACTTCCATATGATACATTATCTAAGTAAACTGAGTATTCATTTTAAAAGGTGAGATAAAATTTTGTTCATTCATATTCCTTGATCAAACAGAATGATATTGGCACTATTTTTAGTATTACTACACCTGTGCAAGCACCGGGGGGAGATCATTTGTGTTACGTGTTTGCTGCAAAAAGCAAGACACTTTGCAGAGGAAATAGGTTTTGTGTTTGAGTCTTTTGGTATTAACAATTTTCTCTCTTTGTGGTATTTTTGTGTCTTCAGCCCAAAAGGGAAACAGAAGCAAATGAAGATTCAACCTAAACCCAACCAGAATACCTCACTGCCTTTGACCAGGACGAGTTCTTCAGTTTCATCTCATGGTGAGGAGACAGTTTCTAAAACACGTGCTTTCTCTTGCAGCAACTTGTATGTGCAGAACGATGAAAAAGGTGAAGGATATTTATTGGTCAGTTTAAATCTTATATTCATTCATGAGACATGTGCAAAACCCACCTGGTGAAAGAGCAAGTAGCAAGGTCCTGTAAATATGTTGTCTGTAGATTGTGTTAGATGAAGTTGGCCCTCCAGCTGCTGGTAAGCTAATGGTCAGAGAATAGGAAACCTGGGACTGTCCTTGCTAAGAATGAATCTAGGGACAAGAGCCTGGATTTCCTGTATATGGGCATTTCTCATACAGCAATTACACATTCATTAAGCTCACTTTGGATTACACCCTGGAGGGATTATGTCTCTTCATGACTGCAGAGGCAGCTTGGCGAGATGAACCTCCTGCCTTGGGCTGGTAAATCAGGTGATACAAAACTTCCCCCAAATGCCTTGCTTTACAAGCCTGTAAAGAGAGGGTAAAAATGAGTCTGTCACGTTAGTGGTGTGCTGTCTAAAGTTTCAGATACAGCAGAAGAACCTCTGGGTTCCGTCACTGGTGAAGAGATGGAAGGCCAGCCATCTTCCTCAGGCTCCAATGCACAGAACAGAAGTGGAAGTACCATTGATCCAGGGAAAAGTAGACCAATCAGGAGTAAATCTACACCAGTGAAACAAGGTGAGAAAGAACAAGTATTCTGTTCTTCGAATGACTGACTTCACTAGAAATGAAAGTTGTTGCTTCTGTTTGGTGCTTATGATGTTCTTGCCTGAGTCTAGCATTTTACTGTATCCCCAAACCATATGAAAGAATTGAATTTACCTTACTTCTTACAGTTCTGGGGTCTCCTGCCTGACGTGTGGCACACATGTGATGTCACATGCACTTGAGTGAAGTCCTTTAAAATTCCTCTGGATGGTAAAGCTTGATTGCTCTTAAATTTCTTGAGAATTACAGTTCCTTCGGGAGTTACAAAAAAGGCAAACCAAACCAGAAGAATCCCCACCCCAGAACCTTATCCTTTTATTAATCAAGCTGAAACCAAAGATGAAAAAAAAAAAAGTTTAAAAAAAGATAAATATTTTTATCATCATCAAGAATAAGTGGTTATGATAGAAGGGAAACACTGTTTGAAAACTGTGGTATTTGGTCTCTGGGACGTGTTAATGAGACTTTCCCCTGAGGTAGGCATTAAGTGAGCATGGGCTGAAGCCCTGAAGCCTTTGTCAGGTCCATACTGCTGGGCAGTAGCAGCGGTGTACGTTCCAGCTGAGCTTCTTGTATTCCATGTTAAAGAAGATATTTTACCTTCATTGTCAGATTCATAACTCTGAAAACATGTAGTGTTTTGGGTCCTAAGTCAGCATGATACTTGATGTATTTTTAAGTTAAGGTGTTCAGGAACCAGAGTGAGTTATTGGGTTGTTTTCTGTCTTGAAATTGTGCTCACCACAAGTGTTCCCTGGACTAATCCTTTTGAGAACATGCATTCGATGGGGAATAAGTACTTCTTTCAAAGTGTTATTTTAACATATACAGATTGGAAATGGATTTTAGAGGGTTTTTCCCTGCCTTGGCACCTTAGGTAGGATTCATCTGACTGTATTTAGATATTTGTGTCTAACTTAGTCACTCTGAGCTCCTTATATTGACTGGATCTTCCCTGGACTCTTAGTTAAGAGTCTTTGCAGTCCTTGCTTCCAGGTAAGATGAACTGATACCATACTTTGATAAATTTTCCCCTTCAAGCACCTGTTTGTCTCTGCAGCATATAAAGGTCCTCTGTGGTGAGTGGCTGGGAGCTGGGTCAGCTGCAGAGTGCTCCTCAAAGGCAGATGAGGCAAATCCCACTTTTTGTATCCTGTTTGGCTCAGGCATGATGATGGTAACCGAGAGGGTTATTTTGTGTTTGCTTAGATCACTCTCCTGATGGACCACTTACAAACGGCGACGGCAGAGAACCTCGGACAGGAGTCAAGAGGAAATTACTAAGTGCATCAGAAGAAGATGAGCATCTGGAGGAGGTGGAGGAAGAGGAGAAGAAGAAGAGAGAACTAAAGGAAAAATCTGGTTTATCTTCATCAGAAAGTGGGGAATCGGGATCCAGTTCCAGTTCTGAAAGCAGAAGTGGCTCTGATTCAGACTCTGAATCAACATCTAGAACGGATCAGGATTACATTGACGGAGACCATGACTACAGCAAAGTTGTGCAATCCAAAAAACCCAAAAGGAAAATCAAAAGAAAAATCACCGGTGGGAAACGGAATTGGCAGGGCAGAGGGACAGGGAGGAGAGGTAGATGGGGGCGGTGGGGGCGATGGAGTAGGGGGGGAAGAGGTGGTAGAGGTGGGAGAGGCTGTGGCAGAGGGAGAGGTGGCGGCAGGGGAGGAAGAAGAGGCCGAGGAGGCCGAGGGGCCTCGCGAGGAGCCACCAGAGCGAAACGTGCCCGAATTACAGACGATGAATTTGAAAACCTGTTTGGGGGACAGTTTGGTGAAAACGTGTTTGGAGGGCGGTTCAGCAGACCTCCTCGAATCAAAACAAGGAACGAAGGCAGGAGAACTGTCTTGTACAACGACGATTCTGACAATGACAATTTTGTGCACACCGAGGATCCTTTGAACCTTGGTACTTCCAGGTCAGGCAGGGTGCGGAAAATGACAGAAAAAGCCAGGGTCAGCCATCTCATGGGATGGAATTATTGACAGATGAAAAACTTTGGAACAATTTTAAAAGAACTTCAATGGCCTTCTACTGCAGGGATTTTACCAGAAAAATCTACCAAGCAAGTTGTGCGGGGACTCCACTCACGTTTCACAGTGGTGCTTTTCCATTATGTCAGTTTGCATTTGTTTTAAAACTTCAGATCGCCACACTTCATTGGTCAAAACAAGCCTTATTCATTAGGCCTTAAATTACAGAAATTCTTCCCCACACACTACAAGTTCATCACATTAAAGAGGCTTCCGGCTTCTCAGTAAGAACATGACATTTTGAGTCACGGTTATGACTTCTCTCCCTTGTTTTGTTTTTGTATTATAGAAATAGCACCTTCTTACAGAGTTTTTATGTGGTTTCTGCCATAAATCCTTATACACAGTAATAATTATAACTTTTGCACAATACACCAATCCTAAAGGCAGCTATAAAATGTTTACAGTTTCTATATTGTAAGAAGGATCTGGATTATTTTAATCTTCCCAGGCCAAATGTTCATGAATTGTGCTGAACTGAAGTATGTCTATACTACAGTTTTGGGGGTCCTGATGTGCTTTCTATCGGTTCTTTATTCATGTAAAAAGTGACAAAGGGTTGGTGCCTTGTAAATATGTAGCAAACCTTTGATGTGGTGTGTCCTATGTGTGCATTAACTTTATTAAAAAGAGAATACTTGAGAAGTATGAATATCTAGACAAAAGGTGCCAAATGCAAAAGTTACTTGCATCTATTTTCTTTTTGTCCTCTCATATTTTTATAGTATTAATAGAGATTGTGCAGCTAAGGGGTAACTTCAACATTTGAAAGGTTCCTCCTCTTCAAAGCATAACGTGATTTTTAATAGTAGCTCGGCTACCTCTATTTACAACTACTGGAAACTTAAAAGAAAATAGATGCTATTACTCAGTACATGTTTGAAGAAGAGGCCAGAAGGAGCGTAGAGGGATGGAATTGCTCGTGAAGTTGCAGAGTTAACTGTATCTTCATTATATTGACACGATGAAAGCAATTCTAAGTAACGCTCAGAGTTTTCATCAGCATGACGTTTTCGGCAGAGGATGATTTGGTTGTGCAGGCAGGGTGACTGTTCCCACACTTTTCTGCTGCCACTTGCTCGGTGCAAATCTGTGTTTGGCTTAATTTGCCCCTCGAAGTTGCTGAGGGAGATGAGTTGCTGAGAACTGGTACCTCTGGTGGCTGGCACTTCGGATAAGCTCCCTTTCGCATCCTCCAGATGGACTCTTGTGTCTCAAACTTCCAGAAGAGAATTCGTGTTGCACTGTACTCTTGGTATCCTGAAAAATGCTGACTTGAAAACAGAAATCATTCTGGTAGTGATAGTACAGTATGTGATGACATTTGTGGGCTCGCTCCTTGGTGAAGAGAAGCCGGTGTTTGGCTTGGGCTGAGCTGGGGACGTGCAGCCTCTTACTCCGTAGGGTCTGGCTGGAATATATATGGGACTGCAGTTTTCTCCCGGTGTCTCGGTGGATTGGGCAGTTCTAGCTTGGTTAAGAGAGTGAGTTTGGTTACACAGAGAGAACAAATGAGGGAAAAAAAAAAAAAAAGACACTAGAAAGTTTTGGTGGAGTTTTAAAATTTTATTTTCTTTTTAAACTTTCATTCAATATCGTTGAGTTCTTCTGTGCACAGCTTGGTCAATAATTCTGGAAAACCTCAGGCAGCAAAAGAGTGACCCATGTATATTCTCAGATGCAGAAGGAATTTAATTTTTGACTTTCTATATTAAGCACTGGCTATTTTATCTCGCTTTCCAAAAAATTCTAGTTAGATGCAAAATGACTTGAAAAAAAAAATGCAGAGGTTTAGTTTTTTGATGAAGGAGAGTATATCCTAAATTGCTCAGAGCATTAATACGAGTTTATGGTACAGTACAAAAATCACACTTTTTAATTTTTTAAGGAATGTTTTGAATCGGCTGGAATCCATTTCTGGACTTGGTTCAGTTGTGGTTTGATGGGGGGGAAGAAAAGAAGCAGTGCAGAGGCTCTCCTAGTTCTGTGTCGGGCTTTAAAATATAAACACCTGTCCTATCATCTCGCTCATATATATGTATATATATACACACATATATATTTATAAGAAATGTATTATTTCTTTGACTGATCGGTCCTTCTCCATATGGTAACCAGGAATAGCATGTATGCATCCTCTCATAGTCAGAATCATACCCCTTTTAGATGAGTCCTGTTGAGCTGATGTAAACACTATGGTTTCTGTTCTAAAGCCTGAAAATCTTGAAATGCAAAAGAAATGCTTTTCATATATTTCTGACTGGCCGAAGATCCACTTACTTATTTATTTTGTGTAGGGGTTGGGGAGAGATAAAACACGTGGATTCCAGAGAAATCCTTTTATAAGTTTGTGTATTTTAGCAGCAATTAGAATAATATTAAATATGTTCTTACCTGTATCTTTTCTATGTAATGAAGTACTGTGAAGATAACAGTGAAGCATCACTTTGCTGTGGCGTAAGTATTAATCAAACATGTTACATGATTAAGAGCTAGACAGCAGGGTGTGCTACAACAACAGAACTATTGCTTATTGTGTAAAAAAAAAAAAAAAACCAACAAAAAAAAGCGCTTTTTTTGTGCATGAGAACCTTTCTATAAGCATGAAAGAAATAACTTGGTTTTTAGAGATGTTATTTTTACTTGGTTTTGCATCTTTCTCCGAGTTTAGGCAATTGATTTCTCGTAGCCTCATTCTGTGGAATAATTACAGTTTCATCGTAACTTGGACACTTTCTCTCAAAAACCAGATCCTATTAGGAACCACTTACGGTTGCAGAAAGCTTAGTACTGACCCAAGAGGTGCAGCAGAAGCAGTAAAATGATTTAAACCTTGTACCATCTCGCTCCCTGATCCAAACCCCCCGGGGTGCTCAGCCAGCAGTGCGTGAAGTTGCCGAGGCTGAAGGCTGTGCTGCAGAGTCAGGAGTGTAGTCTCTCTTCTTGCACTTTTACCAAAAAACTCCAAAACTCTGCCTAAAAAAAAAAAAGTGTTTGAAGGTCTGATGATGTATGGGGTTCCTGAAGGCTGACAAGGCGTGCAGGCAGGCCAGGGCTTCCTCTGCTGTTGTAGGGTTAATTCTTGGGGCGTTTGGGTTTTTCTCTAGATGTGTATCCTGTGTGATCCCTCTCCTGGGGCACTCTGAGAGCGTTCAGAGACCCCTTGGAAAACAGGGATTGCACCCAGAGGGGCTCAACCCCCCTGCCCTCCATCCTCTGTGGAGATGGGCCTGAAAGTCTTGTGTGCATCTGTGTTCCCAGATTTCTCCTGGCTGGAAATCTGCCATCTCTGTAGCGTTCCCATTGCTTCCCGGGCCAGGGTGTGTGCTCTTGTCTCAGTTCAGCCCAAACTTTGCTGCTTTTTGTTTTCTCTTCCCACCTTCTGTTTTTCTCTTTGCCGTGCTCTTCTTCAGCTTCCCTTTATTGCCCCTGTAGGTTATTTAGGATGCTCTTTTGGAACCTTGTGATGAATGTTATTTTGGCTAAACTGTAAGATTTAATTCTTTCTATGCTTCTTTTTTTCCCCCCCCCAAGACTTTCCATATTTTTTTTTTATATCCGCCTTACTTTGCTAGCCACATTCCCAAATTGCTGGAGGTGGATTTAACGAAGATGGAAAGTTGGAGGGTTGGAGTCTTGGCTGCTCTGCACCTCCGTGGCCCCCCGTACCCCGAGATGTGCCCTGATGTTGGCTCCCGTTGCGCTCCCTCACGCGCAGCGACGTCAAACACCACTTAGTTCCACCTGGCGTCCCTTAACACGTGTCTGCTGAATTACTCCTTTTTTCCCCTTGCTTTTTCCCCTGCAGTGAGCGTAACCCTTGTAGAAGCTGGGTGCTTCCAGCCTCACCAGATATTTCTATTTTAAATAACCCGCGAAACTTTCAGGTTGGTGCTTGAGCTTAGATGGGTCTGGGCAGTTTTATCACTCCTCCCCGTCTTAATATCACTCCTTTCCCCATAAACTTAAGCAGTTATCCCAATCCCTCCCCACCCTGCAGATAAACGAGCTGGGGATAATCATGAAGAAATAGTTTGTGGGGGGGTTTTGGCTGCTTAAAATTTTGCATCCCGTTGCAGATCTTAATTTTCCCTGAATGTTTTCTTAAACGTGCACCTCGGCTGTGGGAAAGACTGTGTAGCACCAGAAAGAAGGGACACTGGGGGCTTAGTAAAGAGAGTTTTCAAGTAATTTAAAAATTGTGGAAATACCGACTCCAATGTGTTGCTTTTGACAATGTTTGGGGGCTCTTCTGACCACAAAAAAAAAAGCAGGATGAACCTTGGCGAGCATTTGAAAAGGCTGCCCCTGGGTGTCTCTGGAGTGTGTCTGACAACCGTTCAAAATCACGCAGTATTAACAGGAGAAAATAAGTTCAAATCACTAATTTTTGCTAGGAGCTTGATTAATATTTCGTCTTTAATCTGAGCGGTGAATGGCAGGGAAAACTTGAGTAGCTGTAGGTTTAAGGATGTCTTGTCAGCCCTGACTTGGAATGTCCTGGCTATCGTTGGTCTGTGTCATGAATTCAATGTTTTTAAAAATGTATTTATGTGTTTACATTTCTTGATTTTATTATTATTATTTTTTTTTAAACCATCATGCAAAGTTTTATAAAATGCTAATTATTTACATGATAGACTGAAGGAGCAGTTAACAATCCAAGGATAAATCTATATTTAGTATTGTAGGGAGCTGTCATTGTGTTCTTACAAGTATGTATTATAGAAAATTACTGCGCATGTGCGATAGATAATTTTCAACTATTAGTATATCAAGAGGTTTACACATTGAAAAAAAAACACAACCCAACTCTTTATGTACAGTAAGTAACAGCCTGCAAAATTTAGTCTCAAAGTTGTCTTTTTTAGTATTAGAAATGCAAAAACCTGTTGGAAGCTTGTACATTTTGAATATGTCCTGTTCAGCCCACAGCGAACTTACACAACTGTGCTCTGAATCCCTGAAAAAATTAGATTGCCAGTGGAATTGCTGTCACAGCCTTAACTCTAGTATTATAAAAATGGTGCTTAAATACATTTACGTGCATGGATGTGGGTACCTGATAAGAGTTTGTGAGAATTTAAAGTAAAACCAAGCAGCTTAGTGCTGCTCTTGCGAGTTAAAACTCCTCGATAACTGCAGCCACGTTTAGGAATTGACAAATGGTGTAAATATTTGGAAAATATTTAAGCTGGTGGACAATTAAGCGCAGTTTCCCAGTTTTTGTTTTTGTTTTGTTTTGTTTTTAATTGGCCAGAACTGCATATCTTCCCAGTTTCTGGGTCTGTGGGAGGCAGAGGGGATGGATGGGGAGAGAAGCTGCTCCAGGGGCCGGGGGGAGCCTGGGTCCCACCTGGATATTCACTGGAGGGGTCGATGTCCCTGCAACTCCACCACTCCTTGGAAGATAAAATCCTCCTTTTTTCTTTGTAAAAATGCTGCCTCAGAGTGGTGGCTGCTGACATATACTCAGAAATCAAAGTCTGGTGATTATTTTTCTGTAGAAATACTAATATAGGCTATTCCTTCCTCCATGAGTCGTTATAGCAGACGTCATTTAGAAATACCCGTTAATGTTTGAGCAGTGAAATTCACGTGATTTAGGCTCTCCAGTTCACATTCTGGATGATTTAAAATACTCCCAAAATGCACAAAACTATTAGAATTGTGTCTCCTTTCTATATTGATTATTTTTTTTTTCCAGGTGATATTTATGCCCATATCTTCACATCCGCTATCTCAGGTCCCTATAAATGAATACTTCAGGGATTTTGATGCCACTTGTTGGCAGACCAAATGTAATATTTATATGCAATGAGCTGTTAGTTTTTGTATTGTACAAATGTAAATTTGTAAAGATTTTTTTCTAGAGTTTTTTTGAAGTCACTTATGTAATCTAGGATGTTTCATTTTCCAGCTGTGGGATTGTCTTAATAAAAAACAAAGATAAACTCTTACTTTGGTTTTGCATTGCTTACTAAATAGTTTAGACATTAAAAAGACCAAAAAAAAAAAAAGTATTTGAGTTTTTAATATTAAAAGAAGATCACTTTTTCATTCAACTGGATAATTTTATATTTACAAAAAAGGAAACTTCTATTAACTGGATGTAGAAACTTCTATGAACTGCAGATCTCGAGCAGGATGGGACAGAGACCCTCATCTTGGTCAAAGGCAAGGGCTCGCTGGGGGTCTGTCACCCAAAACATCATCTGACCTTGGCTCCAAAATACCATTTTCTTAGGTGAATGGAGAGGAACAGTTAATGCTTCTTTGGGAAACTAGGTGAGAAGTGCTGTCTGGGACGATAGGTGTGTGCAGAGCCCCCTTGAGAAGCACCTGAGTGGGCGACAAGGAGAAGGTTCCTGGGTGAGGTCCTTCCTGCCACGTGGGACACAGGTTGGTTCAGGCGTGAGATCCAGCTTGAGGATGAGGTCGTGCCTATTTTTAAGGGGTATTTAATGCAAAACAAAGAACTAGTTGTTTTTCATCACCGTTCTTGCCCTTTTGTTAAATAGCGGTGATAATATTTGTTTAAACAGGGTTTTTCCTACACAAGCAGCGCCTGTGTCCAGGGGTTGGAGGGTGTTGGGTTTGGCTTAAAGCTGCCTCGGTGTGGTGGCCAGCGCAGGCTGGGCAGTGGCCCTGGGGCTGGGGGCTGATGCTGACCCTCACCCACGGGCAGTCAAATTGCAAAGTTTGATAAGGCCAACCCTGTGCTGTCCCAAATGCGAATGAGGAGGGGCTGGGGACTGTCACGGGGCTGCCTTTCCTACACCCTGCACCAAAGGCTTTAAAGCCCTTGTACCCCATCAGGCAAAGAGGGTTTAGGACTTAAAAATAGCTTTTACAAGGTATTCAGTTAAGGGCAACCTCCCTGTGGTCACCCTGTCCCTTGCCATTCATTCAGCTCTCTCTCAAGCCTATCCTGCCACCTCTTGCTCTCAAATCCAGTATTTTTGCTTTTCCCCTCTTTTAACCTCTTGATTTATCTGACATTTCATTTTATTCCACTGATTCAAATGGGCTGAATGGAAATTCCTGTCAGATGTGAATGAATATCTTGTTTTTAATACTCCAGAAGGAACAGAAGGGCTTTTTTTTTTTTTTTTTCTTGGCCTTGCTGGTTACAGAGAACAAAATCAAACTTGTGTTGCACAGATGCTGAAGGTCCCCTGCTAAGAACATCCATCAAATGGCATTAGGGAGAAGAAATTACTCTCCCCTCAGAGCTGCTTTACTTCTGGCAAACCACCCTTCCCCCTCACTCTCGGAGCTACTATATCAAAGGTGCTATTTTATATACTTTATATCAGTATATGTTTAGATTGTATATGATAATACATGTTATATATGAGGTAAAATACCAATATGGTAGAGACGAGTTCAATTATTGTTCCCACAGCTCTTTGGAAATGCATTTTGTAGAAGTATTTTTCTTTTTTTGGCAGGTGTTTTAGGATGAAATGGTGATTTTTATGCGTTTCAGCAGCGTGTGGACTAAACACTAACTTGCAGGAGAGATGGTTCATCCCAACGCTCGTTTCCAGCCTGGGAAACCGTGAAGCACCTTCCTCCATCCACCCATTGCTGCTGGTGCCATGTTCCCCGTGGGCACCCTCTGGCTCTGGGAGCTTTGCCAACCTTCCTAGGAGGGGAAAGAAGGCCAAGCTTTGCCTCCATCCCACCTTTTCAGTTCAAAATAGGCACCGCAATAGGATGATTTGCCCTTCAGTTGGTTTATCCTCATCGACACTGCTTTTCAAGGCTCATTAAGCGGTCTGGAAAGGAGCACAGTGTAGGTTTTCCTGTCTTTGGCCTTATTTCTATTGGCACTTTCTTCCTCTGAAGGCCATTTCAGGGGTGCAGGATGGAGGTGCCACCATGTGGCCCTGCGGCCGGAGGGGAAGCCGGGGGGAGGGCCGGGCAGGCGTCCCCCGTCCTCTCCCCCTGGCATCCTGGAATTTCGGGTTTCTTTGTTTCTCAGTGAATAAAAGCCCTTTGTGTCAAACCCTGGAGGATCGGGTGTTGAGCCAGGAGAGCCTCTCCCGTGACGCTGGCGGGGCTGGCAGCCATCCCGCCCCAGGCCGCCTGCCTCTGGGCGAAACCCCTTTTCCCCTCCCCGCCGGCGGCGGCTGACGCAGGCCGGCCTGCCCGCCTCCATCAATATTTGCTCGGGCTCCGGGAGGGAAGGATTCACAGCTCTGCCTGACGCAGGGAGCTCCGGCCTCGCGCCTTGCCCTCCCCGGGGCTGGTGTGCTGCCTCATGGTGCTGGTGGCCGGTGCTGAGCATGAGGGACCGGCTGGCAGAGCTGCGGCAGAGAGTGGCAGCCGAGGGCGACCTGCATGAGGACGGCCTGTGCTTCGACAACCCGGCCTTTGGCGGGGACGATGCCAGCCCCGTCAGCCGGGCGCTGCGGGAGGCGGCCGAGCTCTGGCGGGCGCTGGACGGGCTGGAGCAGCTCTCCGAGAGCATCGACAGGACGCAGCAGAGGGTGCTGAGCTGCACCTCTGAGGAGAGCATGGCCCGGGAGAAGCAGGGGCTCGGCGCTGCCAGAGCCGCCTTCGCCCATCAGGCCGTGGCCCTGCAGCCCCAGCTGGGTGCCCTGCCGGCGGCGCCGGAGGTGGGGATGGGGCAAGCGGGTCCCCGCGTCCGCCAGACCCAGCTGTGGCTGCTGCTGCGGCGGTACCGGGCCGTCCTCGCCCGCCATTACGCCCGGGAGAGCCGCTACCGGCGGCGGCTGAAGGAGCAGATCGAGAGGCAGGCGGAGCTGGCGGGCATCGAGCTGGGGGGTGAGGACCTGGACCGGCTGGCCGAGAGCCCCCAGGCACCTCGCCTCGTGGGCCGGGACCTGGAGGAGCTCAAGGCCAAGCAGCACCTGGCCTTGGCCCAGGCCCGCCAGCGGCAGCTCCTCGACCTGGAAATGCAAATGGCGGAGCTGCACGGGCTCTTCTTGCGGCTGGAGGGGCTGCAGGCCGAGCAGCACGGGGCCGCCGACAGCGTGGAGCACTATGTCCTGCACACCCTCGACTACGTCGCCCAGACCGGCGGCGAGGTGAAGAAAGCCTTCGCCTGCCAGCAGCCGTCGCGGCTCTCGGCCCTGCTGGCAGCCATGCTCAGCCTCTGCGCCTGCTGCTCCTGCCTGCCCTGCCTTGGTGGGACCCTCCGGTGAGACAGAGCAGCTCCGGCAGGATTCCTCACAGATTCCCCCTCTATCTGTGCAAGAAATGGTGCCCTGAGAGGCTGCTGCTGTCCTGCAGTTCTTGCACGGTGGTGCAGGGACCACACAGACTGTGCACGATGGCAATGGGACCACACACACCTTGTATGATGGCATGGAGACCGTGTATGCCTTGCACAATGGCACTGGAGCCATGTACGCCTTGCACGATGGTGCTTGGACCACGTGTGCCTTGCACAATGGCATGGGGACTGCGGACACCATGTATGACAGCCTGGGGACCGTGCCTACCATGTACTGGGACCATGCACACCTTGTGTAGCGGCATGGAGACCACATTTGCACAGCAGGACAGGTACACAGAGCACTGCAGTGTCCAGCAGGGAAAAGCACTTTTAATACTATGCAATCTAACTTAAAAACATTTATGTTTCCTTTTTTATTTATTAAAGGAGGGAGGGGGGAAAGAAAACCCCTTGGAGTTTTGGGCACCTTTGTTGTGATGTGTGAGGGAAGCCAATGGCTTGGTGCTGCCATGGGGCAGTGGGAAGGCTCCTCCACCACATCTGGGTCTTTGTTCTCCCCACTTTCTCCAATTTCTGCTTCTGAGGTGGTTCTTTATGTGCATTAATGTCGCTTTTTCACTGTTACTGATTTGCAAACAGGTGGTCACATTTGGGCCGGGTGGTTGGGTGTCCCACTTGGCCCACCCCGTGGTGTGACACCAGGAGGGTTTATGCAATAGATGCAGTTTTGGGGAGGCTGCAGGAAAAGGACTCTTATTTCAAGCTGCACGTTGACAAACCAGTCACTATCACATGTGTGCTGGAAACCCCGTGTGACCATTTCCTCTGTTCCCTGCGATACCATCTGAATTTCTCTCAAATTTGAGACACTGCAGCAGAACTGGTTAAGTTTCTCAGAACCCTTTGTGGAAGGTCCCTTTGTGTCCTGGCAGTTTCTGGGGTCAGGTCCCAGCAGACTCAGCCACCATTTGGTTTATTTTTTTCTTCTGGCTGAGCCTTAATAAAACAATTTCTCAATAACCTCTTGAATGTGGATGGGTGAGTTATTTCTTTGCAGCAGGTAGCCCAAAGCTAACAAAGAGCAGAAACAGAATGACTTCTTAGTGTGTCTATTGGATTAAATTCTTACGAATCTAGAAAACTTAATTTTCAGGCTGATGAGTACACGTCTTTTCCTATATGGCCATTTTCTGATGACCTGGAAAACTCCCAGCATCAGGAATGGCCATCCTTGTGAGAGCAGTGGTGTCCTGGGGTGCCAGGCTGAGGCATCCCTGCTCCTGTCTGCTTTTCCTTTCTTTTATTTGTTTGTGAGGTCTAAATGAATATTACATTTTCGTTTGAAACTTGTTGTATGGAAGTTACCTCTTTACATAATTTTAAAAAACCCACAGCTTTTTACCTGAGAGAAGAAACGGTCTTTTTTTTCTATAGAAAATTAACCTTAATGGAAATCCAGGAGGGCAAGCACATCAAGGGTTTGTGATTTAAACACCTGAACTTTGTGTTTCCCTGGAATTTGTAGAAAACACAAGTTGAGCAGCACTGCAGCTGTGGGAGCCAGCGGGGCACGTGTATGGGTGAGGGGAGGGTGCAGATGGGACATCCCCGCATCCCGGGACCCTGGGAAGTGAAGCAAACAAAGTGTTGCAGAGATTGTGTTCATTGCTAAAAACTAGATGCAATCATGTGATTAAAGATGATATGAAAATGGAACCTTAATTACGCCATTTCCTAAGGACTGAGTTTGGGCTCAGCATCCCGAACGGTGCACAGTGGGATGAAGGTGAGAACAATGAATTCTGTCAACAAAGCTTCATGGAGAAGTGGCCTTCTCTTGGTTCACTTCTCTCCTGTGTGTCCAACAACCCCAGAGGAAGCTTCTCAAGGTGGAAATCAAATAAAAAGAGCAAGTAGAAGGATGTGCTTTATCCACACTTGCTGTGTTGTGGCTCAGTGCCGTGGTGACTCCTACTCTAACCAGCCTCTCCAGCAGGGACCGCCTGCCCTGTCCCACCTCATGTGGCCAGACCATGAGAAACATCATCTACAGTTTATGTTAAAACTCACATTTTATGTGCAGGTGCAAAAGCAGCCTCCTGAGCAGCACTGAAGATCCTTTGCAGACATCCAGGATGTACAGAAAAGGGAAAAACCTCAGCGGAGTAGGGGAGGTGGCAAATCTAAATGCAATGTAACTTATATTTAATCACGATTTATGCAACACCAGGATGGCTCCGTGCAAACAGCCTCTCTGTAGAGTGAGAACCAGCCTCAGGAGAGCCCTGGCTTGGGTCACTGGGCAGCATCCAGCGCCGGCAGCCCTGCAGAACTGGTTGAGCTGCTCAGTAAATGATTATCCATAAAGCGCAGCAAAAAAAACCCACCCTGTGTTTTCGTCATTGCCAGGGCATATTCACAGGGGTTTTCATGGAGAAGAACCTCCTCTGGAGCCCAGGGTGGAGGTGACAGTCCCTGAGAGCTGCCTCCTTTGCTGGCAGCAGAGCCGGTGGCGCACTCTGTCTTTCCTACAGGGATGTCTTGTTAATCTGAATTAACAAGAAAATAGCCCTGATTTGTGCTACAGGGACCAATGAGAAGTTAAAGAAGTAAGAGGAAAAGATGACAAACTTTGTACCTCGGAGCAGATGTTTCCACTGATGGCTTCAGCAGTTCATGAGACTTTATGAGTTTATTCCTCGGTGTTTTTTTCTGACGCTTGGTTGCCTTTCATTAAATATTGGCCTCAGACTGAGACTGACTGATTACTGTATAGCAAAGTAATTAATAATATTGCAACGTGGGCACGAACATCAGACAGGATAGGGAAGTTTTCTTTCCCTTCCAAGTAAAGGTTGGGACTCCATTTGGAGCACATTTGGTTTATGAATATTCCTAGGGATGATGAGGCCAAGGTGAAGGACCTGCTTTAATGATTCAAAGAATATACATGAGGAGGCTGCTTTAATTATTTCCCAAATGAGCATCATAAATTTAGGAAGTTCAGATTTAAGGGGGAAATTAAAAGAAAGCCAAATATATTAAGTTAAAATCAGGCAGCCCAAACCCCTTTGCTCTGTTCTGTAATGACATGCTCAGAATGAGATTCATTAAAAGAGGAACTTCTTAGTAAAATGCATTAAAATGAGCTGACTTAAAAGTACAAACTATTTGGCCAAACCTCTAGACATACATGGTTCTTGGCAAAAGTGGAGGGGAAAGTTACACCAGTGTGTAGGACTGAAATTCCATTTTGCTGCACTCCAGTTGCCCCTGAATAACACACCCTGGCACAAGAGCAAGGATAAATTCTTAATTCAAGATATTTATGTATTTTAATTCAAGATGAGAAATTTAATGAATTGTATCTTCATTTTCCTCAAACTATTTCAATTGAAAATCATCACTCAATATTTCTATTTCCAGAATTTTTCCAAAAAGCTGGGCTTTTTTGTTCATAAAGTCTTTGTATACCAAATCACACTTGGTATTTTTATTCTGAGTATACTTAACGCCAAATCAGAAATTCATTCTTCTTTGTGGGCTACCAAGTTATTGTGATGCTTCAACACACTTGTTACGTTTCATTCACCAACACAAAAATGTGTCAGCAGTTTAAATTGACTTGATTTGTTTTTCCCCAGTTTTTCCTGTGTTTTCCAGTGAATCAACAGCTCTATTCATAGAGCACGTCAAATATCTTCTGCTGCTGCCTGTCTTTGAAAAATGCAGAGATCTCTCTCACAAGCCTTTCTGCAGGAGTAGGGAATCTGCCAAGGAATTCGGGGGAGCCACTTGTCTTTCTAGCAACAAGTTGGAAACTCCATCCTTGGTTTTTATTGGCAAATTGGGCTGATTTCAGTTGTTTTCATGCTTGCTCCAATGGGATGCCTTTGGCATCCCAGCAGCCTGATCTGTGTGGGCAGCACGGAGGGGGTCGCTTCCCAGTTTTAGATCTTCTCAAAGTGTCTTTTTCAGACAGGCATGAAATAAATTGTGTTTTCCAGTGTTAAAATGTTGCTATGGGATTTCCCTGACAGGGGTGAAGTTTGATCTCTGTGCCTCTTCCTGCAGCCAATTCACGCCAAATCTACCAGAAATAACGTAGGATGAAGCCGTTCATGCTTTTTACAGGGATCCCAATCTCAGAAAATCCACCCCTTTGGTTTGTTGACCTGCAGCTTTCAGAAGGAGAATTTTCTATGAAGTTTTCTCCCACAATGCCTTCTAGTGGGTCTTCATGGATGTGTTGCTAGAACTTACCGGTGCAGAGGGAAGCACTGCACATATCAGCATTTCAGACCCAAGTGTGGGGGAATAAGCCAGGCCTTGCACAAAATTGCATTGACTGACCAGAATCAAGCAGTTTTCTTCCAGAGAAGAGCAAATCTGGAAGTACTTAAAGAAAGGGAGATCTCAAATTCCTGCCAAGGCAGTGTCTAGTTGAGGGCTACATCCCCGGTGGGGAGTAGGGAAAGGAAAGAAGACAGCAATCAGTAATGCTCACTGAGATACTCCAGGTGTGGGATTTGGGAAAATAGGTCAAGTTTCAATCTTTGGGGTTTTTTTTTGGTGATTTACTTTATATTCAGCACCTTTTCAACTTTTTTTTCATTAACAATGAACCTTCTCCCATTCATTCGCTAAGATTGCACCTGCAGAGCCCGAGCAGTTTTGCATGAAAAAGCTGCACAGTGAGCTGTTGTGAGAGGAGTCGTGAAATAATCATCTCATGAGGGCAGAATTCAGGCTCAGATGGGGAAAAAAATGGACACATGGAGAGCGGAGTCCTCTCAGGTCCTCTTGAGCAATTAAGCCCTGAAAGCAGGGGAGCTTTGCCCTGCTCTGTAAGCCCAGGCTGCGGGAGATGGTCCCCCTGGGGATGGGGAATCCAAGGGCTGAGCCTGCCTCCACCCACATCCAGGAGGTCTCTGAAGGTCCCTTCCCACCCTGTGCTCCCAAATATATCCATCTCCACAGCTCGGATGTGGTTGTTCCCAAGGGGAGACACTTGGTGCTTCCTGAGTTCCCCGATAAATCCATTTATTACTTATTACAAAATCAGAATAAGGATATTTTCCTTTGTTCTTGCTTTCTTGAACATTTCCTTTAATTTTGTGTGTGGATCTCGGCATGCAAAGCACATTTTTTTACCATTTTCTTGAGCGAGGCTGCGGCAAGAACATACATTTTTATAATTCTTAGGGAAAAAAAAATCTCCACAGCTCCACTGACATAAATGATGAACGGAAATATTTCAAACTGATAACTAACAAACACGATTTTTGCTTAATTTCCTACACTGCCTTGAAATGGCTGTCACACATTAATTTTAAGTGGTGAAAACAAGTCTTGAATTTGTGGCAGGATTTATTTTAAGTTTAAGGTGAAACTCATAAAATCTTGTATTAACAGTAAGTAGGCTGACTAGATATTTTTTATAATGACGGAAATGACTGCTTTTCAAGTGACTCGATCTGTACTTCTCACAGGAATGTGTACATTTAAAATTCTGCATTTTGCAATTCTTCATTTAAAAGGGTGTTGCCTACATTAGCAAGAGGGTCGCTCCCACAGGCAATAATGCAAGGCATAAATACGCACGTGAATAACCTCTTCTGGTCCTTCTGCTTCTTTGTAAAATGGGAGGAATAAATCAAATCAGGGATTTCACTGGGGCAGCGCAGTGGCGGGGCCGTGCTGAAGCCAAGGAGGACCAGATGCTTGCACCGGCGTCGCCCTGCTTGGCTCAGGCTGGATCAAACCATCCCGCAGACAGCACGACGGGCAGTTCAGGCTGGAAATTCCTCCTTACCAGAGCTTGTTTGCAGAAATCTCTTTTTTTTGTTTTGTTTTTCCAAGCAGACACGCAAGAAGTTCTTCAGTGGGGCTGATTTACAGCCTCTACTCGGCCGGGAGGGCAAAGTACTCGTGATGGGAGAGAGAATTTGAATTTGTGACAATTTATTGTCCTCACAGCCCTCCCATCACACCACTTCTGAATGGAAAC